ACAACCTGTGTTTCAAAAATGGGGCTCCTAAATGAAAAGTGGCATAATGAAAGTCCCATTATTTTCATATCAGCTATCTATGGTTAACGGATTGACCTACTAATTTTCGGCACCCTGTATAATAATATTCCCATATATTTACGAGTCTCTTCATATTTTGTCAATTTATGTAGGGGAATCATTAGATTTTTACCTCCCCTGGTAGAATAATTATGATAGTAGTTTCTTGGTAAAAAATCCTTATTATCTCTTACATATAATAAAATTTGTAAAATGTAGACACGCGGTAAAGTTAAAATTTGTAATGTTTTGAAAGTATTTCTACATGATGCACATCTGGATATTCCTAATATATTTCGAATAGCTCTCTTTTGTATTTTAAAAATTCTTTCTGAACTATGAGATGCACCCCAAACAATTATACCATATGATGCTCTTGATAAGAATTCTGCATAATGAAATGATAAAACTGTTTGTTTATTTGCAATTTTTGATAATCTGTAAAGTGCATAACATATAGAAGATAGTTTACTTGCTAATATATTAATATGTGTTTCCCAATTCAATGCACAATCAATGGTAAGTCCTAAGAATTTAGTAGAATCTGACTGCTTAATAGATGTATTCTCTATTTGCTGCTCTATTTATGAGTGCGTTTGTGTCAGGGGTATAGAAATAAAAGTCATAGATGGGAGGGATTTGACAGACAAGATCCTAGTTCGTTTAGAATTGACGTAATTATTTACAAAAGGGCCAATTCGAGAAGCTTTGTATGAACTTCATCGGGAGCATCAAACGTATAATTCAGATGTGTATGTTCTTCTCTTTTATGAATCAGTTTTATTAACAAACTGATGGAGCAACTATAGGTTCATTCTTGTCCCCAGCTCTGGCAAATATTTGCATAAAATCCTTCGATTTGAAGGCCCTGGAGTCAGTAACTATTAAACGAAAGTGCTGGTTCAGGTATATTGATAGTATACATTTAGCACCGGAAGGGGGTGTAATAACTTAGAAAAATGAAAATCTGAACATCAGATTCATCTTGAGATTGGAACGAAACAGTACCCTTCCGTTCCAAGATGTTCTTGCCTAGGAGAAACCGGGTGGCATCCTGAGGTAGGGCACAGCATTTGCAGAAAGCCAACACATATCAAACGCTGATTTCTTCATTCAGTCCATAAGTAAAGTATTGTCAACTCATTAGCGCATCGAATACCTTCGCTTCATCTATGACCTAAAGGCATTTGGACGAAAAACTACAGTTTATTTTTATTTCATTTTATTTATGTAATTTCATTGCCCAATAGATTTCTCCAATTACAGGACCATATTACTACACTAGAGTACATAAATAACAAGATAGATAAGTATACAATACATGAGATAATTAAACACACATACAAGTATATAGAAGGATGGCGAGAAGTACGGAATAAAATTCATATCTTTTGAATGAGTAAATTTTTTTTAAAACGCCGAAACACGTTAACTGATTTTGATTGATTCCCACCCATCGGTCAGACATATAATAATTAATTTTTCTTCAACCCCCTAACCCCCAGCTACCCCTACTTTTTATCCTCCATGAATTTGCACAGAATAAAATAAAGAATTTGAAACTGTACCTATCACTGCTAACGCAAAAAGATATATTTTTTATGATACGTTTTTTTGTTACCAATTACTTGCCAGGCTTTCTGGTTAATTATTCGCTTTAGTTGTAAATTGGAGTTTGAAACGTGTTACTATTGTGTCAAAATCATATTATTTACTGAATTGCAATGGTGTTGTCGGAAAGGCAACGCATCGAAATCTTGATATTGCTTGGATGTGGAGACAAAATAAGAAGTCAGGCTGAAGTGCGCGATTTATTTAATGCGAAATATCCCAAAAACCAAATCTCGCAAGGGACAGTTAGTAAAATATTTCACAAATTTGAGGAACACGGTACAGTACAAACTTTGCCCAAAACTGGACGGGCACGTGCTTTGAATGAAGAAAAGAAATTAGACATTGCATTAGAACTTGTTGAAAATCCTCATACTTCAACTGTTTCATTGGCCCGCAATCACGATGCTTCTCGAACTGCAATTCGAATGTTTCTGAAACAAGAGAAATACCACCCCTATAAGGTATGTCTTGTCCAAGAGCTTTTGGAAGACGATTATGATAGGCGATTACAATTTTGTGAGGAAATGATGAGACGGTGTGACGACAATAATGGTTTTCAACGAGACGTACTTTTTTCGGATGAAGCTACGTTTTATTTAAATGGAGTGGTTAACAGGCACAACTATCGCTTTTGGTCCCAGGAAAATCCACACTGGACATGCGAATCGCATACGCAGCATCCACAAAAAGTTAATGTATGGGCAGGTATCATCAACAACAGAATCTTGGGCCCATTCTTTTTTGAAGAAAATCTTACTGCCGCACGCTACCTGGATTTCCTAACATTTGACCTGATACCTGCTCTAGCTGTGATTTTCCCTCATGAAATTGATCCAGATATACCGAATGAAAGAATTTGGTTCCAACAAGATGGCGCTCCCCCACATTTTGGTATTGATGTTCGAAGATACTTAGATGAAATGTTTCCAAATCGCTGGATTGGTAGACGGGGTACAGTTGAATGGCCGCCAAGATCCCCCGACTTAACACCCCTGGATTATTTTCTTTGGGGATATTTGAAAGAAAGAGTCTACCAGGACAGACCGGATAATATTGAGAATTTAAAGAACAAGATTAGGGCGGAGATGCATAATTTACCAGCTGAAGTCATTCAGAATGCTGTGGACAGCTTTTACTATCGTCTTGGAGAATGCCAAATAGTGAATGGAGGACATTTTCAGCATTTGCGACATTGAGTTTATTTTTGTAAATTATCTAGTTGTTTCAATTTCTAAATGAAAAAAAACTTGTTATTGAAAAAATAAAACTTGTTTATTTGGTATGGCTGGATTCAGTTTTCTATAAGCTTTTCAACGAGCCCCCTCATGCCTTATATTTCCATTTGAAAAAAAAAGTAGGGGTAGCTGGGGGTTAAAGGGTTGAAGGAAAATTAATTATTATATAACCGAAAGATGGGAAAAAATCAAAATCAGTTAACGTGTTTCGGCGTTTTAAAAAAAATTAACTCATTTAAAAGGTATGAATTTTATTCCGTACTTCTGGCCATCCCTGTAATATCAGGTTACAATGCAAAGAACAAAAGCAATTAGTATACTACAGATGTAAAATACTTACGGCTACTACAAATCTATCCAATATGACATTTAACCCATCGAAATTAATATCACGTGTACTAGAAATCATATTAAAGTTATGCAATATATTATAAAAAGGTGATTTAATCAATAAGTCTGAATTAGCATGTGGCAAGTGAAAAGTAGAGGGCTGACGAGTTATAACAGGTGCAAAATGATATAATAATTTCTGCAATAAATCTGGTGAATCAATTCCATTGTGTATTAGCAAATAGAGGATTTTCAGACTTTGCTGCATTCTGCGAAGTTCGAGAGAGGGTATATTAAATTCATTTGTAAGCAACTGGTGATCACAGCCCCTGTCAGGATAAATACCACACATTTTAAAATGAAGAAATTTAAAAAATTTTCTTTGTACTCTCTCCAGGTTTAACTTGTGTACATTGTAAATAGATAACCATGTTATACTGCAATATTCCAGCTTAGATCTAACATGCGAGAAATAAAGTGTTTTAAGGGATTTAGCATTATTAAAGGTATCACAGTTCCTGATGATAAATCCCAGCATTTTACTTGCTGACGTTTGTATATTTTCAATGTGAGCTGAAAATATCAGCATCTTATCGAAGGTGACCCCTAAGTTTTTAATGATTTCACATCGCTGTAACGTGCTTGAATTAAACGTACAACAAAATGACACAAATGCTTGTTTCCTTGTATAGGTCATAACCTTACACGTTGATACATTCATGCTAATATTGTTATTAATCTGACACCAATGTTCAATTTTATTCAAGCGATTCTGGATGTTAATGCAGTCAGATGCTGTGTCAATTTTAGAGTAAACTTTAAGACCATCAGCAAACATTAAATAGTGACAGTCAACAATAGAAAATAAGTTATTTATAAAGAGCAAAGACAGAAGTGGACACAGATTAGAGCCCTACGGTACTCCCGACACTACCAAAAACTCACTAGGTCTATAACCGTTGTAAGCAACATATTGAACCCTCAAGTAAGAAATGAAAAAATTTTGCAGAGGTGCACTAAATTCAAATGCATTTAACTTATTTAGCAAAATTTTATAATCAATGCTGTCAAATGCCTTTGAAAAGTCCATATAAACCATATCTACTTCATGTGCTGTCATGATAGGTCGCCTCTTATGAGAACACATATGTATTAGTACTGCTTGCAGCACTTCAAGAGAAGCAGGGACAGTCATTCCCAAGACAACCTGCATGAGCTATGTGAACTATGTATAAGGCCCCAGCGTACAGAGTATTCCGAGTGACACTTTAGCAAAAGGTTTAAGGAACACAAGTGTTTTATAAAAAAAATAACAACTAATACCGGAATAGCAGTGAAAAATGTTATGTTTTGACCAATAAACTGCAGAGAATCAACCAAAATCTGGAAAAATGGAAATTGTTTCAACTCAGATGAGAGACTGAAACGTCACAGAATAGTGACTTCAACCGCATGGGAAAAGTATGGACCAGGGCACGCAGCAAATATAAATCCGGTCAGAGGACTTAATCTCCACTTCTATAGCATAGGGTAATAAAGAGAAACGTTTAGAACTCTGGGAAGTGGAATTTTTCAGACTGTAAGAATTAATGGCTATTATTCTAAAGCAGTTCGAATCATTTCGGCCGTTACAATCTTGGACCGTTCATTATTGTTGTGAGACTATTTAAACCTCAAATATTTCAGTGAGTTTTTTTAATTTTATATTTAACGCTGAATACGCAACGCGGTTAATATTTTTAAATGTCTTATTAAAAATTGTTTAAAAATAACAACAATTTATTTCTGTAAGTGACACATATACAATTTGTACAGTACTGTAAAATACAGAGCATTTCTTTAACACAGTAGCAACTGAAGCACTCTATTACACTGTTTTTGGACAACACATTCCCGCGTATCTGAAAAAAATAAAAACATTATTTCAATGAATACATGAAGAAGGACTTCTAGTCTTTTTTTTCAGTATTAATTTTAAAATTTGTGGAGTTATAGTGGCAATCTTTAATCTATTACAAAATATACTTTTCAAATGGAATTCACTATAATGACTTATGTAGTTCGCTTACTTGTCATCAATTGGACAGAAATATTTTTGATAAACTTGAAAATCTGTCACAATCCAAAATAGTTCAAAGCAGTCTTTCAGATGAACACACTGGCCGGGTTGTGTATTATTAGTCATTGTTTTCGAGCATGGTTTTGGATCATCCACGATGTATGTTTCTCCTAATTCATAAATTTCTAAAAACAAAGTCAAATTAGAAATACATACTATTCACTTCACCGAATTCCCAACAGGGTTTGAAGTTTCCAGGTCGTATGGGTAGTTGCTAATGAGTAATTTACATTGTTGCGACTAGAAGGCTTAGAAAAAAATGTGTGACACCTCTTCCATAATGGGACGGAGCACCATCATGTAAAAAGAACAAGAAGTAGTAGAGGTAGATCGTTCTCCAAATTTCCGTTAGATAAATGTAGTCGGATAACTTCATTATTAATTATTCCAGCCCAAACGCTTACGGAGATTCTTCTCTGAAAATGGGGATGAAAGTTTTCGATTGCCCACATAAGATATTTCTGAAAATTGTTGATTCCATCTCTTGTAAATGTAGCTTCGTCACAGAAAAGGGTTCTTGAAAAAGTCCCAGATGATTGCTCCACCATTCTCAGAGACGAATTCTTTAAGGAAGACCGGTGGGGAGAAGTTCTTGTTCCCGTTGGTAATGATAGGGATGCTGTTCGTTTACTCGCAAAGTTTTTTGCACAGCCATCCTACTTTGTCCAGTAAGTACAGAAATTCTTTTCGTATTAGTATCTGAATCATTTTCAACAAGGTCAAGCACTTCTACAGCATTGTTTCTTAGCAAAACTTCTCATTCACAAATCGATTTAGGCAAGGCACCTGATAAGCGAGGAGTTGTGAAGGTTCTATTGAACGTTTGCTTGTCTGGAAGACGACGGTTTGGATATCGTCGTTGACATTCTCTAACTGAGGCAATGGTACTACCGTTAATATTCACACAAGAAAATCATGTCCTCATATTCTTCATTTGAATAAATCAGAGACATGATGTTAACAGAAATGACGCAAAAAATAAAAAATATGACAATTAACGAAGTGACATTCAACAATTTTTTCCAATCCCAACCAAGTTGCTAATAATTATCTTTAGTGGCAACAATATAATTTACTCTTTAGCAACTCCCTATACGATCTGGCAACTTCAAACCCTTACATTTCAAGCACATTGGAAATTCGGAAAAACTGAATGAATCACTTTTGCTTAAAATTAATCATAGAATTCATATACGAAGTATATCGGATACCTCGTCGGTATATAGACCCATGTAGTGGTTTCATATAAAAGTAAGTACTGATTGATATATTAACTCACTTCCTTCTACTGTTATAGTTCCATTTGGATTCAGCGCTGAAGCTAACCAAGGCAAATTATATTGAAGTGATTCGTTGATTGCTAAACCTGGTTTTTGTTCGTCATCAGATGTAATGGCTATAAAATGAAGAATAGTTAAATGTATTTTGTTGTTGCATTACCTTTACAGGGTTTCATAATGTTAGAATGATCCCAGGTGAGTATGGAATGCTTGAGAAAGTCGTGGGTAAAAATTTGTGAACGAAGAGGGAGCTCAATTATTTAACTCAGAAACTAATATCTAATTATTTAACCTAATATAGATACTGAAAGTTTCGGAAAGAGAACGTTTCCGATAGAGGAAGCTTCCTCATTACGACATGAAAAATGTATTAATTTTGTAATATACAGCGTGGTAAAAAAGTTTTGCATAAAATTCATATTTTCATTAAACAATTTTTTTTCGAAAAACGGTGAGACCCGTCGATTTTTATTTGATCCAGGGCACCTTGTTATGTGGAAAAATTTTTTTTTCGATAATCCACTTACGGCAGCGATGACATAATTTTTTTTTAAATGACAACGCATATTTTTTTCGTTCGAAATTGATGACAGTGATAATTATCTAAACAACGGTGTGAAAATTTCGATGTCTTACATAACAATTTTTTTTAGAAAAATGCACCTTAAGTTCTTATAAGTGATAATTGTCTACTTACACTATTAATGGCTCCGAAAAGGACAAAGTTGACAAAATTACATTTCAAACGAGTAAAATTACACTAATGTTTGTGTAAGTCTAGCGAAATTGTTCGAATTGCCCACCCTGTACCATTTGGCATTGTCCTAAGCGTGTGTAAACGCCGTCTACACTTCGTTCAAGCATTCCCGGGTCGATTTGATTTATTTCAAAACGAATACGGTTTTTAAGTTCTTCCAAATCACCTGGTCTGTTTGTGTACACACGCGATTTCAAATAGCCCCACAAAAAAAGTCTAGAGGTGTTAAATCAGGCGAACGCGGAGGCCACTCGATTGTTCCGCGTCGCCCGATCCACCGGCCAGTAAACGTGTTATTCAAGTACTCCCGTACTTGCACTCCATAATGGGGCGGTGCACCATCCTGCTGAAACCAAATTCTTTCCTCAGGAATATCAGGATCCTCGTTGTTCGGGAATAACTCTGCTAAGCTTGGGACCAAATCGAACCGCAGGAAATCCAAATAGCGAGCAGCAGTTAAATTTTCCTCGAAAAAATACGGGCCTAAAATACGACGCCCTATTATTCCCGCCCAAACGTTCACCTTTCGGGGGTGCTGATGATCTACTTCTTGCACCCAGTGCGGGTTTTCCTGAGACCAATACCGGCAGTTATGTCGATGCACCGATCCATTAAGATAAAAAGTAGCCTCGTCAGAAAAAATTATGTTCTTGAGGAAGTCGGGGTCTCCGTTACATCGATGCATTAAATCTTCACAAAAGTGGAGACGGCGGTCTGGGTCGTCCTCAGTCAATGCATGTATCAAGTGACCCTTATAGGGGTGAAATTTCTCTTTTTTGAGAAAGTTCACCACAGTTACATGTGAAATATCATTGTTCAATGCAATCGACCTTGTACTAGAATGAGGGTTGTCCTGGAGCTCCACCAGGATATTCAATCTAGTTTCATCATCTACTCTAGGACGACCCGCACGAGGAGCATCTTTCACACTACCAGTTTCCTCAAACCTTGCCAGTACCCTACTAACCGTAGATTGCGTAATTGGTGGTCTGTCAGGGTACGTTGCATTAAATAATTGGCAAGCTTCTTGATGGGTTCGTAACTTATCGCCGAAACCAATCATCCTCAAAATATCAATTCTTTCGCGTTCACTAAGTTTTGCCATTTCGAATTAAACGATTTCACCAAAGAATGTTAAATCGGTACTGATTTTTAGTCTTCAATATTTCAGGTAATCTACTCCTTTCAAGTAAACATTTCTTTGGATCTTTTTTTTTTGGGGAATTTATCGGCAAACTCGAAGACAAAAAGTCGACCTTAATTTGCTACATACTATTTGGATTTTGTGCGGTTGAACTTGGTTCTAAATTTTGCAGTTTAATCAGGATCCTGACAATATCTGATGAATAATTCCGCAAATATTACATAACACCAGTTGCAACTTAAGTTATCTGAAATGCTTTCTGCCGAATAAATTTTTTTCTAAGGCATTTGATCCGTAAACAGCAAATTATTGCATTCAAGAACTTAAGGTGCATTTTTCTAAAAAAAATTGTTATGTAAGACATCGAAATTTTCACACCGTTGTTTAGATAATTATCACTGTCATCAATTTCGAACGAAAAAAATATGCGTTGTCATTAAAAAAAAAAATTATGTCATCGCTGCCGTAAGTGGATTATCGAAAAAAAAATTTCCACAAAACAAGGTGCCCTGGATCAAATAAAAATCGACGGGTCTCACCGTTTTTTCGAAAAAAAAAAATTGTTTAACGAAAATATGAATTTTATGCAGAACTTTTTTACCACGCTGTATATATAATCATAGTTGTGAGATTATTATTACTGAACTGGAAGTATAAAATTATTAGGCAGCTCTAATTGTTCTACTTGAATTTCTTTGTTAATTCAAATGTTGAGGAAAATCTTACATAAAATCAGATGCATGGGTTTTGCTATTCTGACATCAAAAGTCTATTGATCTTATGTGATATATTGTGAAAATTAATAAATTAGGCATGTTCAAAAATTTTGATCAAGGGTCATACGTCATTCCGTACTCTCCTAGGTTGCCCAACTCTGGCATTAAAGTATATGCAGTTCGTCATGAGACAATACGATTTAAGCTGAAAAAGATAACCAAAGCTTTGTTTTTAAGAAAACGTTGAAAGTATAGGTAAGTATTTATTATTGCAAACTTATATATAAAGCTCTAATTATTAGGAATTATCATCTTAAAAATATCAAGGGCCAATTTTTGACCACCCTGTATATTTTTTCCAGTTTATCTTAAAAGACAAGTAAAATATTTTAAATAATAAATTCTTGTGAAATACTTGTAGAAATAATGAATTGCTTTTCATTCTCATTTTTTTTTTTATTTAATTTTTGAGCGGTTAAGGAAAAATACCAATAAAACAAATTTGAAATCCAATCAAGCCAAATTTATTTTTGTTAGTGGTTTTCTACATTATTATAATAAATAACTTTTCTATTTAAACTCTGATGAGAGAACTTGTGAATAACTGAAGAATATATACCAGGCAAAGGCCTACAAAAAAACAAAATTTTTGTATATTTGGCAATAAATAAGATAGGTCGTATCGTACTGTATTAAAGATATGAAAAGATAAACTTACCAACGAATGGTATATATGATTCTGTTGTTGGTCCTACAAATTAATTTTGTTGTTAAAATAATTTTAATTTCTAGTGTAATTTTTTGAAATATAATTTAAACTGCTGTAGAGATATATTCATGAAAAATTGTAGACTCACCTGATGAGCTAAAATAAACTCCAGGAAATGACTTGTAAAGTACATCTGTAAAAAAATATTAAATTAGTTTGCGTTATTCATTTATGTATCCTTTCTTGTCTATGTTTACTGTTTTGTTATTACCAGATCGTTTTCCGTCACTGAAGGCATCTTCCGTATCAACCGCGTTGGTTTCGTTTGGTTTCACAACAACAAGAGACGTGACTTCCGTCACAAAGGAATATTTGAGTGCAAGATCTAAAGCCTTTTTCGTCAGCTCCGTTTTATTTTCCGCTAATTCCCTTTCATCCAATATCTGCTTAACAGTTAAGTAGGCCCAGTGTCTTTCTAATGAAGAAACTGGCCTTTCTACGGTGGGTTGTAACATTTTTCTTCCCTCGATGTCCCAACCAGTTACGTATTCTGGCGAAAAAAAATTTGTATCTGAAACTAAAATAGTGCACATTTAGTATTGTTGAAGATTGAACAATGAAATCATTCGATTATATGGTATACTACTTTCAACATTTGTATTAAAAGAGAGACCAAATTACAGTATTCTGGGTATACCGCATAATAATGTGTGATAGTGTGGCGAAAATTCCCGTAACCTCAGTGCGAAGTCGGTCACTGCAATTAAACATTTCAAAAAGCACAAGGCAGCTGATTTTAACAAGAGATCTTCATCTGCATCCATTCAAGATTCAACTAACCCAGGAATTGAAACCAATCGACCATTTAATGCGCCAGACGGTGGACGGTAATTTTGCTAAGAAAATCATCTTTAGCGACGAGGAGTGGGTATGTGAACAAGCAAAGCTGTCGAATTTGTGGCAGACAATCCTCGGGTCATTCAAGAACGACCACTGTATACCCAAAGAGTGACAGTGTGGTGTGGATTTACGCTGGTAAAGTGATTGTAATTAATTTTATAAAAAAATATACCTATACCTATCTAAATATTATTAACACAGAAACCTGATATATTTAAATGTTACAAGTATGTTAGAAATATCTTGTATTCTTGATGCTCTAACATCACCATTGTCAAAAACCAACACATAAAAATATCCGAGATAGAAAGATCTTACTATTTCTACATTTTACTTAGTATTGCTTAGTATTTTGAAAGGACAATGTCAAAAGTGTTGTCAATATGACCAGATCAATGTGAAGACTTATTAGCTTAATATGGTGGATATGCATAATATATTGGATATTCATTGTTGTAACAAATAAAATAATAAGATAAACTGAAATATGACAAAGAATAATTATATTTGTTACAAACAAAAACACGTTCCAATTGTACTGTCGATGCATTGATGTTTTTCCAGAAAATTTATAATTACTTGTTACAAAAATATTAACAAGATTTTTTTTAATTCTCGAGGATTTACAACGATAAATTTGCCTATAATTTGTCGTAGTCCTCAGGTGGTCGATATTTCGACACTTTGCTCTCCACAAATTGTGAGACTATATATTCTTCTTCTTCTCTTCCTAGTGGTTGGTTCTAATAAGTCCCGTGGCACCGTGGCCTTATCAGGACTATTGTGCGTCCCACTACTTAGCAAGTAGTGTTGTCCTTTTAACAAAGTCCAAAAGCTTCCTTGCTGACACTTCTCCCAGCTCCTTGGGTTCCAAGTAGGGTCTTTCCAGGAGCGTCATTCTACTACGTGCAAATCCTGGACACTCGCCAAGGAGATGCAGGAAGGTTTCATCCGCCGAGTTACATCCTCGGCAGACCGGACTGTCTACAAGCTTTAGCTTATGTGGATGTCTCCTAAAGTGTCCTGTAGTAGGTCCCGTTACTCTCTTGAGCCGAATTTTATTCAAGTTCAACAACTTAATTTGCTCTTTCCTTCAAAGGATACTCCATTAGCTTCTTAGAATGGCTATGCCCTGGCCTTGAAGTCCAAGATTTCATTTGCTCTGGCTCAATCTATTTGCCCAGAGCCCCCCTGACCACACTGGGAGATGTACCGCAGAAGGGCTCCGGTCCAAGCAACTCGAATCCCTTCCTAGCAAGTTCTAGACTATACGTTATGCTTTAATCAATAGCTTAAAGGTTTAATTTGATCGTAAATCAACTGTACTCATCGAGAGGAAGTAGACACATTCTTCAATGGCAGAAACCATGACTTGACTCAGTATGAACGATTGATGTTTAACTATTCCTCTAACGTTGGTTAGGGCTTACCAACCCAAATCGTAACTGAATATGTCGCCTCTTCTCCTGTGCAAGTTTTCAAATTTTGGGCCGATCCTTGTGATTAGAAGAAAGAACGGAGATATATTATTACATAACAATAAAAAATTACAGCTGTTAAATATGATACTCTTTGCAAAAGGGTTTGGTTCAAAATTATTAGACACTAATACCTATTCTTAAGAATACTGATTTGTCTAATGTTTTAGTACGCATGTAATATCGTGGTAACCCTTAACACACGTTTCTAATAATATATATATTTTTTTTGATAATGCAAAGCATCATAGAAAACTTCTTACCGTTGTATCGTCCTGTTACAACAATCTCGGATCCTTTAAAGTATAGAGCGAATTGCGTTTTAGATATTTCCTTGACATTATCATTATATGTGAATGTAATATTGGACAATAAGGGCGATGAAATTTGTTTATAGAATTCCTGCAGCTGCAAAGAAGCATCTGAAGCCTCATAAATGTGCCTGGAGAATCCTAGGTTCTGTAAGGACAACTTTCTTAAGAAATCTTTATTAGCTCCTTCTCCAAAAGACAGAGAAAATATGGGAATGTTGTTGTTCTCAGTATTTAAATGTGTTACCTAAAAATATTTAAAGTAAATATATTAAACAGGTAAGTATATCTCGTTTTTACAATTTTCACAATTTCGTCTTCAGAACTTAGGCCAACATTTGGTTGACCGTCGGTTAAGAATATCATGATTGGTTGATATTTTTTTCTTTCTTGTATTAGTTTAGCTAAATATAAAGATACTTCTAAACCACCAATCATAAAAGTACCACCAATAGCCAACAGTTTGTCAGTAATCCGTTTGGCTTTGTCCAAATTCTCTTTGACTCCCTTTACAGAAGCTGGCAAGTCTAGTCGCTGGAAAAAGATTGAAATAAGTAGTGTTCGATTTTAAAAAAGTCTTAAACATAAATTAAATTTTAATTATTTTAGTCGCCATTAAAAATATACGAGTAATAGCTAAAACGAAATTAAAAATTAAAAGAACTCATATTCAACACAAAAGTTTTTACAAAAATACTTACACCTAATGTAGGAAATGGTTTCTCATAGTTTGCATCCATAAATGGTATCCTGCTTCGATTTTCTCTAGCTATATCCCATATGTAAACGTCGCTACCAAAATCAATAATACTTATTATATCTTCTTCTCTTATTTCATTTAAAATGCTGTTCATAGCATCTTTTACCTGATCCATTTTTCTACCCTCCATACTACCACTCGAATCTAATACAAACAAAACATGTTTAGGCAGTGGTTTCAAATCTCCTGGGGCAAAGAAATGTACAAAATATCCATCACGAAGTAACACCTAAAAAATATAAAAAATGTGTTCTTTACTTTTGGTTAAAACTAAATAAAGCTTTATAGCTTTATCAGTAACTAATGTAAACTAACGGTTTTATAAAAAATATCTACCTCTCCACCGTAAGGATCTCTTTCCACGTCATATTGAACAACAAATTGCCCAGATAATCCATCAGATTTCTTTTCACCAAGGTCATGTGCAAATTGTCTCTGTTTATTTGAATCAGGGTTAAATTTCACTAACGCTGCAGTCAAATTTATTATTTTTATATCAGAAGACGGATCAAGTTTGTCCTCGTTCTTACTTATTTCGTTACCAGATCTTAACGAAGGAGTTTTAACAAATTTTAGTGGTCTAGTCTCATTTATTTGTACCTAAAAACATAACTGGTAGTAGCAGCAGCATTAGCATTAGAAGCATGAAGTATGAAGCTTTACTGATTTTGTTTTTTAAGAAACTAGGTTTTTATGAATGATTACTGTTAATAAACACAAAAATATAAAATAAGTTTGGGAAAAGACAATATATGTATTTGCATGGTATCTCTCGTACTACTTTCATTATCTCTTAAAGTTCAAATATGTTTATATATTTCCATTTAATAAAAATAATAATGATAGAGATTAGACAATGGAAAAGTTTAGTTTTACAATCTCCTACTTAGTATATGCACATCTGCGCTACAGTTCGTCACGAAAATCTTCATAAAAATAATACTGTATTATTTAAACTAAATATAAAAAGCTTATGATGATTTTACTGAATAAAATTTTTACTTGAGATAACTAATTTCACTAATTTCTTATGTACGATACTGGAAATATACGAAACATCCACAGAAGAGGAGTACTGAGACTCTGATGCTCTGTGGTTTCGACAAAGTTGGCAACACTGCATTCAAAGCCTAGTTGTTGGGAGCAGAACGCGTGGCAGCGTGCTCATTTGTTTCAGTCAGTTGAGAACTGTTGCTGTAGTAGCATGTTGAAATGGGTAAACAGGATCGAAAGAATGCTTCGTGACGATCGTCGACTGACTTTGGACGAGATGAACGCAGTGTTTCCACAAATCTCTTCTGCATGAAATCATTACTGAAACACTTGGTTATTGAAAATTATGTGCGAGATGGGTATCAAGCTCACGGATCAACACAAAGCCATCAGCGAAAAAATTCAAAACCGTTGTTTGGGCCCGAAAAATCATGGCAACTGTGTTTTGGGATTATAAAGGGATTCTCTTCATTGATTTTTTGCCCCAGGGGTATAATGCTGCACGGTACTGTGAAACCCTACGGAAGGCAATACAGAACAAAAGAATCCCTTCTTTTGTTCTGTATAATGTTAACGAAGGAAATGTGCTTGATGAATGCCAATTGGATTCATTTGGTTGGAACATCATCAAGGACCCCGCTCTTCTCTTCATCTTTCCTCTTTTCTGAGGGTGTTTATGGGTGGGAAAAGGTTTTCTATAAACAATGTGGTCCACAGTGCCACGCAACATTGAGTATCAGAAACCTCACCGTCAGCGCACAAAGTGCATTGAGGGTGAAGGCGACTACGTCGAAAAATACTGTTTGATGTGCCTTTCTGAATATGTAATTTTTTATAAATATGAATTGTACAATTACGTTCATACAAACACATTTTCCAGATATTTTAATTAGTGCACCGCTTCTTCTTTAACAACATAAACTTCTATTCTATTGGAATCTATTTAACAAGTACATTTCATCAATAAATTTTGACATTAAAACATGTACTGAACAAGTAATTTTGAATGTAACAAAAAGCTCATTTGAATTTAATTATTTCCACTCACCTTCACATTCAAGTTTTTCACAATTTGCCCAGGTCGAATGTTTACAATCAATTCATACTGACCATTTCTACGTTCAAGAAGTTCTTCATATGTAAGGAGGAAAACTACTTTTGCTTCAGGTTCTACATTTACAGATACTGTGAACCTGTTTGAATTTCTAGCACAAGCTGCGACATGGCCGGCACTTTGGCCACTGGCCACCGCCTGAAATGGAAAAATATATATAAAAACACGTTTTACTATGTCGTTAGATACATTAAATAGGTATGAAAAAAATAAAATATCGGGGGCTATTTATTTTCAATTTTTATTTTAGCAGTACCTATTTGTTTAAATTAGGTTACTTCCTACAATGGATGAACCAGGTCCTATGAGTACTTACTTACTTTTGAAAGGAAAATGGGTTTTTGCATTGAACATTTTCCAAACATGTATACTTGCAGTCCCTTCGATTCATTAAAAAAAAAGTAGTACGGTCCTGTATAAAGTAAAATTGATTTGCATTTTCCATGTTTTTAAACTTACTTTCAATTTTATACAAAAAATGTTGATATTTATTCTATTTTCTATTAAAGTACAAGTAAGTTCAGTGCAATGTATCAAACTAGTTTCCTATTTGAATCACTTTTTTCAAAAAATCATGTTAGCATAGTAAAGGAATGCTAGATTTCTTTCCAGATATCATTAGTAAGGAAAATATAAAAAGGGTTTCTAAATTTATCATGTTGTTTCTAGATATAGGATTATTTTTGAAAAATTATTTGTATTTATTTTTAAAGGTATTAAAAGTAATGGTATATATTAGTACATTGTTAAAACGGCTTATTTTCAAAACCATTTAAATAATTTATCAATTTGTTTGTGGACATTGAAAACCTTGTTGACTTAGTTCAAACAAACCTGGCATTTCCGTGTTTGGGATCAGCATATCTTTAATTCATTCAAACATGTACAGTGCAATTTACCTTTGGTATGGAATGTGCTGAAATATAGGGTGTTCAAAAATAAGAAAAAAGCTTACATGAACATACAGTTTCCCAAATACTTTTTAAAGGCACTATATTATATCATTTTATGTCTTTGGAAAAGCCTACCTAAAGTCTTCAACTGTATCTCTCTAATATTTTATAACAAAAGCCATGACGCGTAGTAATTTATTTATTAGTCTTCGGAACGGATGGGCCAAAAAGTAAAATATTTCAGTCAACACTAATTTATCGGAAAGTTAAGAGTTTTCAACGTCGCCAAGACCGTCCTTCAAAGAAGGCCTCATGAAATTTATGAATATTTTTGAACAAGTTCAGTTAGACCGTCGGGGCCATGTGACAGTCATCCGTCGCGTCCGGGAGGCGCCAACCTATGCTGGGACAAAACAAAGAAACCCATATTTTTAATAACCCGCGAAACCACGAGAAGAGCGTAGAGGTTCCAAATTAGAATTAAATCAAATTGTTAAATTGATAATAATTGGAAAGGAAAGTAATAGATCAAATAGCTGGTTTTTAGGCGGATTTTCCAAGCTATTAAGAATATATTAAATAAGATTGACTAATCCGTCCCGTATTGCTACACGGAGTCACTAGAAGAAAGCTAGGGTTACTTGTAAGTTCAGTTAGTCACAGAATTATTTATATAAATGTAAGTCCAGTCAATTAGGTAATTATTAACATAGTATAGTTATACCAAAGCGTCCCGATATTCAGGTTTCCGCCAATAAGATAAGAGCAGAAACTTCTGGACCCAAGAAATGGTCGTGTCGAAGCGAGGTGTCGAATTCAGGAGAAATCCGAAAAAAATGCAGTTCTTCGTTGGGTTTCACATTGAGCAGTCTACTTAGTTTAAAGTCTCGGGTTAATTTAATAATGGATAAAGTCATTCCAAATTTTGCTATGGATCGCGCATTCCCTGAATCTCGGTACGTTGTCGCGCGTTTATAAATTAATTAATAATGTTGTTCGAGTCCGTTGTGTCGTTATTTTGTTTGTTCTGTTTTTATTGTTATTAAAATCCTTTCTGGAAGTTTTGGTGTTTCTTTCTTGTTCTTCCAACTTAAGTGTCACCCTATACAACCAACCACTGGATTACCTTGTACATGAGTGACATACGGTAAGTGTCTGGTATTCATTTTCTGCACGTACAACATTTCTAAGTTCTTACGTATTAATTAAAGTATAATCATAATTATAAACTCCCTTTCGAGAATTGAATAGTAAACTCTTTTGAAATCCAGACTCGTTATGATACAGGTCATAACGACATATTTGGAAAAATTAAGTCACTGTGAGGTTAGAGGCAACTCATTTTATTTTCTCATTAATTTCTATCTTATCAATTGCCAGCAAGCTGTAACGGTAGACGGTGTTAAGTCAAACATGAAGTTCCACAGGGTTCTCTTTCGAGACCTCTATTATTTGTTATCCACGTCAATGAATTGTATTTTATTTGTTTATGTTGCAGTACACGTTGCGGTTGGTACAACGTTATATTGTCAGTGAGAAGCAATTACAAATTATTTTCTACCCGAGATGTTCTTGTTTAACAAACTAAACTTAATTCAGAGGAAAATGAAAATATGTAAATCACTTATAATAAGTGTATCAACAATAATTATTGTCGCTGATAATGTTAAACTGCTTGGTATATTTACTTATACAATGGTATTACTTAGATAACAGACTTTACGTGTTTTCCCAAGCGAATAAGTTAAAGGAAAATCTTTCTTGCACTTTATTATTTCTTCGTCAATTAAAAAAAACTGAGAAGATTTAATGCTTTGAAAACCATGTATTTTTTTTATTATCATATTGATTATGTATATACCTACTTACTTACTTTGGGATACCTAGTTCTTTACATGCTTTTCAAATTTTTCGAATACAAAAAAGCGATTATGGTGCTAGTATTCATTGGTTATTATAACCACACTGTGAACAGTCTGAACCATATTATAACAGTTTATAATAACGCATTTATCTATTTTATTTGTATTCCCAGTACTTGAAACTGATAAGAGATAGATCACAATACTGGGAACGCTCATATACATTATATTTAAATTTTTAAAATATAAAATAAATAAATATGTCATTGGTATCATTCTGTTAATGGAATACATTGAACATTTTAAATCTATCTCTACAACTTCATGTCAATTTTAGTATACAGGGTGTCCCACTAAGGTCGGCAAAGTACGATATTAGAGAAAGTATAGGCCATAGAGCTCCGGGAAAAAAAATTTATTAATAAATCGACCTAAAGAAATTGCTGGAAATAGTTTTCAAGTTCTTAGCTCGGCCGCTAGAGGGCGCAATCTACATAACAAAACATAAAGTTGAATGAAATGAGTGAGTCGATAACAATTTTGAAAATAATAACAAAAACAATAACAAACAGATATTGATATTATGTAACGAAAGAACAATTACATTTTAACAAAAGTAAAGATGTTTATAAATGCTCGAAATACATACTATTATTTTCAATACAGGAATTTAACCTTCGTTGCGTGCTTAAGTAGGTTCTTTTATAAACGCATTTTGTTTTGGTAATTAAATGCCTTTTCGTTAGCGTCGTGTTCCTCAATTCATTATCATTATTTATTTTTTGCTCACTGTGCGAATAACTTATAAAAAAAAAGATCGAACCCTTTGGCGTCAAAATGTATCTATTTTTATGCTCTTCAAACTAACCTATAAAAAGTTTTATCCTGCTATTTAACTTTTTTAAGAAAACGTGAAACATCTTAAACTTGGATAAATACCGCCAATAAATAAACAACACTTTCGTTAGAAATTTCAAACTTACTATATTCATCAATTTCTTGTGCTGAATTCATTTACATAAAAAAAACTATAGTTTTACATTTAAGATTTTTGAGAAAAGTCCATAAAACGGCATTCTTTTGAAATAACGCCATCTATACGTTTCCATATTGATGTAAATGACATTACGCATTCACCACGAAATAAAGCATGAGGTATAACACTATGAGCCAATCCTTAAAAACATGCATTTTTCTAATCAGACATTAGGGGCTTCCCCCACCCTTTCTGTCGTGAGATAGAACAAAATGTCAATAACAAAAGTTATGCGCAATGAATCCGGGTATCCATATTTGTACTATTTAATATACCTGAATAGGAAACATTTCTGAGAAAAATTCAACTCTATGTTTTAGTATGTAGATTGCACCCCCTAGCGGCTGAGCTATGAACTTGAACACTATTTCCAACGATTTCTCTTGGTTGAATTATTAGTCAAAATTTTTTTCCCGAAGTTCTATGGTCTATACTTCCCCTAATATCGTACCTCGCCGACCTTAGTGGGACACCCTGTATATTATTAATATATTTTGAAAAACAAGTGAGTACCTTATACATATTATTCATTACATATTTTGTACAGCATTTTAGAAAATCTAAGCAAGTTAGAAACAATATCTCTTCACTGTATCAGTATAAGTTTTCTTCAGTTTATAAGACAACTGATAATACATTCAAAATAAGGAAAAACTAACATATTTTTACGTCGTATGTTTACCTTAAGTATGTTTCCTGAACTTTGCATGCCTATTGAACAAACAAAAACATATAAACATAATCACAACGCGCAGAATGCTTTTAGGAAACTATTAACACATGGATTAATCACAATTATTGAGTATCTTTACCAATTTGCTGGACAAAACAGGAAACGTACATTTTCTGATGTTTACATATTCTCCATGATCTTTCAATGCAAAGTTAAGTTCCTCTAGTTAAGTTTAAGTTAAGTTTAGCGTTACGCTTCGTCACTTCCTGGATGAATCTACTCGTTCTACCATTGTCTAACTAAAAGTGCGATTTCTCGTCTATAAAACCCCAGCCTTAAGAATCTTCAATCTTGCAGGTTTTAATTTCTTTTTTTCCTAATAACTATTTTTATTGAATGTTTTTTATTTATTTTACTTTTATTGCTGTTACTTTAATTTTTGTAAACTTTGAACATATTTTATGAATGTGGTCAAATAACAAATAAATAATTTTCAAATTATATTGTGGGAAACAACTAATCTACGGACTATATGCCCCGACCGACATTGAATGCAGTGTGAAAGTTGCACGAAAAATATTGTTTTCTGATTCTAGAGATGGTTGTATCTCTATAGGCGTTGATATTTATTAAGGTGAGTTGGTCTAAATTAATTTATTTTGATCTTTTGTTGTCCACGTATTTTAAGGACATGACATAGTATAACATCATGTTTTTTCCTGTATAGATGTAAAATCGCGTTTATATACGGTGAAGAAGGTAACAAATTAATTCTGTGAATTAAATGCTAGTGAAGGCATTCACCCAGTTTCAATCGCGATGTGACCTTTCGGCCTTTCGATGATTCAAAATAAACTCGACTATCCTATACGAGGTCAGTTCAGAAAATAACCGAACTTTATTTTTTTTAAACTTGATTATCAATTTTGTACATTATTGGTCCTTGTCTCCTTCAAAGTACTCCCCTCTCTTATTTACACACTCTTCTCAGCAGTGTTTCCATTTCGCGAATCAATCCCGGATAGCTTCATTTGAAATGGTCTTTAAAGTCTGACGAATTTGCTTTGATATCATCAATAATCTGAAAAAGGCGTCCTTTCGACACTGATTTTAATTTCAGAAATAAGAAAATGTTGCAAGGAACCAGGTCTGGCGAGTAAAGATTGTCAAGGAGGATTGTAATCTGATTTTTTGGCACAAAACTGATGAATTCACAAAGCTGAGTGTGCGGGCACATTGTCATGGTCCAAGCACCCTGAGTTGTGTCGCAACAACTTTGGTCTTTGCGGATTTTTTGATAGTACATACGGTTCAGTTTCACCTTGAAACAAGAATGCAAAATGCAGAATTCCATTACAGTCGAAAAACTTGTATATTGGATCAAGAGTGACATGTTTCCTTGGAGCGTGAAAATCCTTTGCCAATCCATTGTGATGATTGAAATTTTGTCTAAAATCCAGCTTTCACCTCCCGTTATGATCCTTTGAATGAATGCTTGTTTCATCGTCATTGCATTGTTAAAGAAGTTGCCGACAAACGTCCACACTATTAAATACGTTGCACTCAAATAACAATAAAATGAAAAACGTAATGCTGACAACCGCATATTACTAATTATCTCCATTAGCGCATAATTCAAAAAGTTCAGTTATTTTCTGAACAGACCTTGTACTTTTGTTAAACAATAAAGAACCAGTAAGAATTAAGAGTTTAAAAAATTCAGTGTTATGATTTTCCATTGTTGACTTCAGTCAATTTATTGATCACCAAAGAATACCACTATTAGGTATTAGGTCTTGTTTCTGCAACAGCTGATGCACGAACAAACCTGTTATTACATAAGTGTTTAGGGGAGGGGATCTTCCTTTGACGTACTTACTGTTCAGTGTGAATCAACTTTTGGCTCGCAGAAAGCGAGTAAAGCGAATTACACCAGTTGGATTTCTGCAAAGCTTTTGTTTTCTTGGAAAGTAGTAGACATTGATTGAGTTCTTATAATATAAAATGTCGATATTTGGTTAAAAAATCTTAGACAATTGAATGAATTACATTCTTCTGAATATGCACAACGTCACATTCCTGACTTTTTTACATGTGTGCTCACCGTCACTACGAACGTCTTCTTCTTTAACACTAAGTTAAGTCAGTACAGCTTCTCTAGCTTCACATTCTTTAATACAATTTTTATTTATTGTTACACTAAAGGATTTTAATTTAGGGCCTTAATTTTGTTACACAAAACGCCGCCGTAAGTTGCCATATTATATATATGTTATGGACCAGGTGATTAATGCGGGCATTATTAATAATGTGCGAGCATTATGAATAATGTCTAGCTCTATCGGGCTAAGTGATTAATTACTATCTAAACTTCATTATTTATCACATTGCACGGTCATTATTATATTGCTACGTGACAATTGGGCAATTTGATAATAAAGCTAAATTTTCATTTTTAAGTTTAAAGTGCTGAAAACTATTAGATGCTAATTATGCCAAATAATGAGTCTGATTGCTTAAACTTTAGTTTATTTTATGTTTTATAATAATATGTCAAAACTTCTATAAAACAAAGATATGTTGTGAAATGTTTGTTTCAAATTTTATATGTTTTGTGTTACCTATATTTTTAATATGACTTTCCTTAAGTTTTAAATGCAGAAACTAGTGGATTCTTAATGTAGAAGTCCTTGCTAATTAATCCAAATAATGAGTCTGATTATTTAAATTGTCTAACATTTAGTTTATTTTAAGTTAAATGACAATAATAATAAAAAAATAGTAATTAAATATGTTTGTATTACTCCGCCCAAAAGGTGATGGACAATATGTATAATGCCCGGTCAATTTGATTATTTGAATAATTATTATCAAATTGCACACTCATATTGGGCATTTTACATAATGACCGGGCATTATGTGTAATGCCCGATTGATCACTTGGTCCATAACATATACAGTAAAGAACCAACCTTGTTATAAATTTCCTTCGCCTCTTCTTTTTCCTTTACGTATGCTCTGTAACTTTTTCCGTCGATTTGCATAACAAATTCAGAGATAAACGCCTTCTGTGGTAATACGACCGCAAACGTCGTTTCCTTTGCCACTTTTTCCATATTTTTCACTTTGCTAACCACAAGAGTCGTCACGAAACGATTGGAGATGTTAGATGTTATATCCATTTCGTATATCGTTGGATATTGGGGCGCGCTATTGTTCGTGACAACCTGAAAAATTATAACATAGCGAATTATTTATTGTTTTAAAATCATAATTTGTTTTTTAATGAGCACTGATTAATTGCACATTGTTAAAGTGATTTTTTCTATGAAAAAAGTATTCTTGTAAACTTTTTGTATTTTCACAGAATTTGTAGTTAATTACATCAAATAAATACATAAATACAATTCCTAATTAAATATGTATTCGGATATGACAACACTGTCCTGTCGACAGACTTCTTTTCTCAGGATGTTCAACTCTAAAGCATTTTTAAGCAAACTAGAATTTTCACTTGTCTGTTTACTCTCAACTTTAGTTCTGGAATATTTCACGAAAATTATGTATTTTTTAGAATTTTAATTATTAGGTAGAATTTTTTATCAATGTGTGGTGTTGTATTATTGGTGGACATTTAATTGGTCTACACCTTTTTAGGGAGAGATTAACAATTGAAGCTATCTAATGTTACTACAAGATGAATTATCGCTGCTACCCTTTCAACATGTGTGGTTTTAACAAGATGGGGCTCTATGTTATACAAGCGAGACATTTCTTTTGACTGAATATCCCAATCATTAAACTGATAAAAACGAATTCGGAATGGCTTATGATATCCTCAGACTAGAACCCGCTGATTTATTATCTGTCAGGAAACTACGAAATCAATATATTATATTGAAAAACTCAGAACTACCAAGAACTAACAGATAAAATTACCAAAGTTATAAATAAGTTAAATTAGAAATAACGATTTTTAAATAAGGAAATATGTAGTTTCTTTTTAAAAAATGGACGGTTACGCATATATTTTTTAATGTTTAATTTATGTTTATTTGTTGCTTCTCAATATTGTTCAGAATTAGTTATTTCTATGTATTAACCTATAAAATTATTTTCAAGAACTGTAGTTCTTGTTATAAAACGAAATGAAAATGCAATTTACTTCAAAATCTATGAAAATACAATTAGTTTAGAGTAAATTTTAAATTTTATTTAATTTAAGATATTAATACATGTTGTTCAGTGAAGGGACGCCCTGTATATTTCTATTTGCGAAATAATACAGTTAGGAATTATTTTCAGAAAATTGTGCTAGCTTTTATATAGAATATATTGTTATGAAAATTTTATATAAAATATTAATTTGATGTGGTTTTATATTATGTTTTGTCATAGTATTTCTTGTGAACAAGTGTCTGTCATGCATTCTTTTAAAAATTTATTTTATATTTGTGAATTAAATTTAAAATTATCAATTTAATACTATGTGATATCCATTATAATTACTTCTTTTATATTCAGTCTTTATATATTAACAATTTTATGCTATTTTATTGTTTGCTATATTAATAATTAATTTTTATTTTTGGACTAAAGTTCGGTCAGGTAACTTTTCAATCGTGATTTCTGTTTACATTTTCAATTCATTACAATATATTTTATATATTATTTATTTTTTCAATAAAAGAGGTATATATCTAATGTCTCCCGTACTCGAATTTAAGAAACACTGTAGCGTGTCTTATTATTGTTGTTTTCCATATATTACATATTGAAACATAAAAATACAAATTTTGAAAAGAGCGATACGTAATAACTAAAATATAAACACTTACCTGTTTTCCATCGGAAATAGATGATTCAGTTGATGACACTACCAAACTTTTGGGAGCTGCTAGTACTACTTCAAATAGTAATAATGGGAGGAGGAAATATATGTATTTCTTCATTTTTAAAATATGAATTATCTAAAAGATTGAAGTAGTCTCAGTGAATGTCTAAAGCTTTTAATAAATTTGCAAAACTACCCAGCAAACACGATCATGGCCCATTTATATGCCGCAATTTTTGTGTTTGCTGGGTGATTTTATATTAGTAGTAGGTACATATTCTAGTATTACTTTGTGACTGTCTGTGCTATTCTACTAAGTAAAGATATAATTATTTTATTTCATTAAAAAAAAAAATTATTTTGACAGGAACTTAAATGCAACGACTTCTGTCTTATATTTACTAAGTTAGGTATAAAAAGCAGTTCACCGTCTAAAATGATCAAACACTTATATGTATAAGATAAAATGTCATAAATGTTTCAAATATTCGCAATTTTTAAAAACGCTTTTGTGTAACTGATGTACTTAATAATATGAATTTACAATTTAATGATTTAACAAAATTTTGATCTTACAGGTGTCATGATATTAAAATTACATAATGAAGAAAAAAGTCTCTTCTAAAATAAAATTTTTTATTAGCCTTCTGCTCTAATGATTATTACCAATTAATAAAAATAAAATAATATATACTCACTGGTTTATAGTACGTTATTATCGTAACCGTCTTATTCAAATAACACATATAATCTATAAAGATAATGAGCTTCCTCTTATTTAGCCCCTCCTTTACTGTCATATCACAATTGCCGCGCTAAACGTTTAATTACTATGATGTATATTTACGTCTCGAATCAAGGACGTCATTTGTGTATATTAACTCCAAACGCTTGTTCTGCCACATATTCGAACATGTTTTTGCGAGATTTTATAAATAGTTAATCAGTAAATAAATAGGTAATTTGCAAAAGAGTTGTTTAGTGTTCCAGCTCTTACGTTGTTGACTTTTAAAATAGTAATCAGTTACTTTCTTGATAAGACAGTTGGATGTAACCGGTAATGTACCGACTAAATTGAATAAAATTTAGAATATTTCTCAGCTACGATATTTGTTGAGATAGATTCCAAGAAGACCACTGCGTCAATTTCTTGGAATTAACCGTATTCGACACCCGAAGTAGAAACTATTAACTAAACTAATTTTCTTGGAATTCTGTGTCAACAAATATTGTATTACTTTACTACTGCTAAGAATTGGTCGTTTTTGAAGTGCAACATTATTGATTAAACTGTAGGTACTACAAATAGCCAATTAAAACTAAACTAATAAGAACTAGCATACACGTGAATTTTAACAAACTACCAAAGAACTAACAATATTTTAAAGTACGGTCTTGGCCCGGGCTGACTTTTCCGGCGACTGCCGTATTGAGTATGAGTACTCTCGACCGGCTTTAACCGTGTTTTCAAGTTTAACCTTGTAATTATCCGTTGAATTGTTTTAATATATGTTTTATACAGTGGTGGTTGGTGCGGGGGGCTCTGGGGCGCCACCCCCTTAGAAGTTTTAAATATAAAAAAAATAACTTAAAATTTAGTTTACAATGTCCAGTCAATTTAAATCGACTTGCAAAATTCGTCTGCAAAACTCTGAATATGTGGGCTCCTCGTAACTTGCCTGTAGAGTGTTTACAAAGGGGGTAGCGCATATTTACTCTACAGTTTGGGCTCTATTTAGTCCGACCGTAACCAAATAATAGCCATTCGTCGTTATTTTTTCTTAATAAACGTAATTTGCTCAAATTTGGCGTAAAATATTGTTACTTAGGTACATATTCTGTTTTTTAAAAAATTGTAAAAGTTTAAATTAATGTAACACTTGCAAAAATCAATGGTGAGGGAAATACCAAACTTTTATGAACAAGTAATTGAAAAGTTTATTTCGGACAAAAGCAGATTTTTTTTTATACTTTGTACCTAAATTTTTCCGTCCTCCCTGGTATGAAAAAGATGTTTTGCTTTATCTTCAATAATAACAGCATGAACATAGTGACACATTTTTGCTAATATTATCAAATCCTTGTAAAAATGTAAAAATACAACTATAAACAACATACACCTTCATGTATCAAAATTTCACAGAAAACTACTAAGGGTTTTCCAAGAAATAACTATTTAAATTTTAATGTAAGCGGATAATTGTGAAACATGGGTATATTTATTAGCATACAATTCAATAGTTTTGGATCCGATAGTAAGATTTTGGTTAATGCGGCGTTCACAGAACTGCGACTATAACGCGCTACACTTATTTTCACCAATCATGAAGCCTTATTGAATGCACCGTAGTAATAACAGACCAAACACGATAATTGTGTACCGCTTTCCTATGGGTTAGTTTAAATCGGAGTACCTACCATAAACGTAGGTTTATTATTTCTCAAACATGTTAACTTATTTTTGTTTCTGCCTCAAATTGTGTAAAGAAAGATATATTTTCTATAAATGGCGATCAAAGAATCCAGTAGTTTTTCGCTTATAATTTTTATCAAAATCGAAAATGTGCATAAAAATTTCACAATTTTAGATATTGTTTTTCTTCCCTTTCTACTGTCGCCTTTGATGGTGACAAGGAGCTATTACACATCTGCCTCCTTTCCATCGTTTGTAGAGCAACACAACCTTAGAACTAATGTTTAATGGAACAAAAGTGTTTAAACTGTGTGCCGTTTTCCACAAATAATGATAAGTATATAACAAATCTTTCGTTTTAATGAGACAATGATCAGATTGCACGAAGCTGAGGCGTGTACTGAGGTGTAAGAATAAATAATACACAAAAACAAATCATTCTAATTATTTATTAATACAGAAAGTATCCAGAAAATTCATAACATACAGATTAATACTTACATTTTTAACTATCATCCTTGTATCACTATAAAGATTGTAATTAATTATACTATATTTTTCCATGTTTCGTGGATTACTTTTACTTACTAATTCTATGAAAAATTTGGTATAAATATAAAATACTTTTAAAATAAATCTAATATCTTCGTTTCTCAAAATAGTACGTAGGTATTAAACAAAGAAATCATTATACTCACTACACTACGTTACTATATATCTCGTTTTTTATAATCTGAAACATGGTAGAGATTATAGAAATACCCTCCTCACCCCGCTTTAGAAAATTTGAATGTTTTACAATGTATACACAGAAAGACATGCTGAACAATTTTTACATCGAGTCTTCTCTTCCACGTAAAACAATCACAAATAGGATAAACCGTGTGGATATTCAATTGAGATAGAATACTACTCGTACCTATCTAAATTGTTTTTGTACTGTTTGATGCGTCATTTTGATGCTGTGCAATTCCAATATAATTTCAAGTTATTATCTGTAATTATTTATTTGCAGCTTTGTATTCTTTTCTTATTTCTACTACATTAAAAAGACAACGTAATTTTAAATAAATAATGGCGCAGGATCATAGAAATACTCGGTTTAATATAAAAATAATAATTTCAAGATTTAGTATAGAACAAAAAAATAATATATTATAAATAAATTCTGAATGTCCGTCAGGAAACTTCGGGAGGTGATTCTACGGATTAAAAAAAATGTAAATAGAATACGTTGAAGATATTCTTTGTAGTTGCTTATTTATGACATTTAGATATTATCTACTTTTTTTATTTAATTAGGTATTCCTAATTATTTATGAAATCAGCCCCCTGACTAATCCTCTTGCAGCAATGAGTTAACAATTATCTTTTTATTTTCAGTACCAAAATTAAAAATGTTTATTTAACAAACCTTGTCATATTTTTAAAATAGTAATAGTTATATAATGTATAATTTTTTGTTTTTTTTTTTTTGGGGGGGGGAGGTTATTTAGCCATACTGTAAACTAATATGCTATAATATCACCAAATCCTACAAACAATCGCTTTATTTGATTTAATAAAAAAAAGTTGTATGACTGGACTTCGAGCTAAGCAAAAATGATTTTGATTTTTCCATAAAGCTTTTAATTTAAAATAAAAATTATCTATCCCTATCTGTCCCAGTTCCACGGCAAATTCGATGTTTCGTTTTGCATGACATTACAAGACAATCTTGGTAGAAACATGTCATACTAATTTCTTGTACGAATCTTCTATAACTGGCGGGACCAGGTACACAGATCACGGCATAACAAACCAAAAAAACCATCGCATGTACGTCAAATATTTTTGCTGGAAAAACAGCGTGGCTGTCATTTTTGTAGGTACTTATTCGATATTTGTAAGTTTAGGGGTGCCTTTAACTGTAGAAAAACAATGCAAACAAGCTTATTTAAAAAAATATATACATATAGGTAGGTATATCGTAGCTTTTTGAATCATAATCACCCCGTATTTCAAAGGAAGAGTATTATTGAAAAAATATTCATACGAAAAACCCTATTTGCTTTCAAAAGTTATTATCATATTCTTGGTTCTGACATTAAATCTGACCTTCCTGTATTGTTTCACATTTTATCTTTCTCGCACATCATCAAGTAAAAATTCTCTTTTAGTGTAGATTAATGTTATATAGTGATTTATAACATGATACCTTTAAATCAAAACATACCCAAGAAACACACGTTAGGCACAAACTTATTAGTCCTCTAATACTGTCAAAAATCGTCTATGGAAGAGAATTCATTATTTTTAGATTATCAAAATATATCCATTATAAAAATACATCCAAGGACAGACGCGATAGTTCAAACACAAAAATCAGTACGCGTTTAGTTAACCTAAAGTCGGTTCCAGATATTGCGGCCGCTTGTCAAATATTTGTCAAATGTAAAAAAATACAGAATGGTGTGGACTACTGAATGATGCGCACATGTGTGTAGATTTGCTGGAGTTCACATATTTGTCAAACGTAAACTCATGCCGTATCGCGTGGATGATGCATATTGATACATTCGAAGGCATGCTTTCACTTGCCAAATATTCGTCAAAGCAGTACAAACGGCACACCGTTTTGGCTATTTAACAAGTGAAAGTTATTAACAAAAACGTATTTTTGATACTAAATGGTTAAAAGATTCACGAAGAAAAAGGCTCGAGTTGCAAATGCTGTTTCTTCTATTTATATACATATAATTTTAGGTCCAATTTAATACAAAATTAACTATTACATAAATTATGAATAATATTTTAATCATTTTCGTAGCAACGCACAAGCATTATTTTAAAAAAGAGTAGTTGTCACAGAACAGTTGTTTCAAATATATTTGGTAAGTAAAAAATAATTCCATTGGAGTTAAATTAAATTAAAAAATGTTTAATTTAGTTAGGTTAGTATTTTAATTAAGAAAATAAAATAATGTATGCTTTCGTATTTGTCTCTAGAGTCGACAATAATATGTTCACCTTGATATAAAATAAAAAAAATTTATATACTTGAGGAGAAAAATTTGAGTTACGGATATTTTGATTTTGTCAAATAGAACCAAGTGTTAAATTTGATACAGCAGAATTTTAATTCCTTTTAGATTTTATTAAATTATATAGGGTGTTAGAAATTTAACTGCCTTAACTTTAACAGACGATAGAATACGCTAAAAAAACCTTATATGACATGGGTCCTAAACACAACCATTTCCGAGAAAAAATTATCAAAACCTCCAACCTGATGTACAAAAGTTCGATTAATTAAGGAATATTAACATAACTGCGTGCATAGAATACCATAAAATACAATGTTTACCACTTTTTTGAACTTCTTTGTACTTAATTCTAAAAAATAATTAGCGTTGTAATAAATTTAAAATTCAATAAAATTCATATCGAGCAATGTGACAATGGCGAGGCAGATAACACGAGGTACTAAGCACTAAGCTGTCCAGCATTACGCAATTCAGTTGGTATCTGGAATTGTACCGTGTCTGAGTGTTTTTTGAGTACCACTATTTCCTTTTTTTGAGGTGTTTTCCAGCGAGTGCGCGAAAATTGGATTCGATGGTGTCGTGCGTGCATCGAAAATGGTGATGGACATTTTGAGCATATGTTGTAGTTTGTTTTGTACTTGTGTGTTTAAAAATTAGTGAATTTTGATTTTTGATAAGTACCTAAATTATTTTTAATACGAAGGTATGATTATTTGGATGACGTGAATCTTTGGGTAGGTACTTTAATTATATTTTTTCAAATTCATAATTTGATTAAAAGTTCCTGTTTTAAGAAATTCATAATTACTAATATTCGAGCTAAAATTTAAGCATAAAAACAAAAGCACAAAACTATAAAATTGATATATTTTATTTTATTTATTTAAAAACTGGAAAACAATTGTCTTGAAATTTACTAAATGTTTCACAATAATAGTTGTTTAGATTTTTTCCGTAGGACAAGTGTGCCGCGTGCATACGTGGTATACACCAGCTGTGTAGCGTCAGGTGAAGTGCTGTTGTCACGTTGTTATGAAACTCCCTAATATTAATACTCGCTGTATTTTAAAAACTGTTAATCTTACGCCCCTGTAATATACAACTTTTTTGTTCATTTATGATTACTCTGTCTCATGCTGATGTAATGGCAGTCAAACTTCTTATACCCTGTATTACGACGTTTGTGCTATTTTCACGTTAATAATATTGATATTATCAGAGCTATGGAAGAAGCCCTCTTACGTGGGACGATTTTAATGCAATAAAATATCGTCAAAATAGTCGTGGAATATAATCACAGAAGGTTTTTCATATCTTTAAATATCTATTGTAATTTTTATGGCAAAAGTTGTTTAAAATCAACAATTTATTACTCTAGGTGTGTCAGTACAATATTGTAAAATACTTATAAAAATAATTCCTGTGTTACCAATATTACTTGAAATACCTCATGTCACTCTCTTTGGACAGCAAATTCCTGCATACCTGAAAGAAAATGAATATTAGTCATCGATATTGATATAAAATGATCTATCAAATAATTTTATTACTGTTAGATATAAAATTGGTCTATCTAAGTGTAACTTAGGTACGAGAGGTATAAAAAATATTTCACAACTTGATTTTAAGAGGAAAATCAATTATTTTAAATTAAAAAACTAACTCGGAAACCTTAATTTTTCAGTTGAAAATTAAATGCACTAATCGGTATCCACCTCACTGGTTATGTCCAATTATACGAATTCAGTTACTTATATCTTTATTCATTTAAATCAATAACCTAAATTTTGTTTTTCTTCGTCAAACATCCTCCGAGATTTTTGTCCAAATGTCACATTTATATAAAATTTAACCTGTATTTCGAAATCAAAGTCGCTTAAGACATAGGTTCATATGAACGAACTTGTTTTCTTTCAACAATCCGAGAAATAACCTGAAATATTTGTGCATTCTTACCTAATTCAACCCACGTGGGGACATTGATTGTATGTGCTATACGAAGTCAGTTCAGAAAATAACCGAACTTTATTTTTTTAAACTTTATTATTAATTTTATACATCATTGGTCCTTGTCGCCTTCAAAGTGTTCACACACTTTTCCCAGCGGTGTTTCCATTTCTCGAAGCGATAGCTTCATTTGTGATGGCCTTTAAACTCTGTGACGAATTTACTTTGATGTCATCGATAGTTTGAAAATGGCGTCCTTTCAGCACTGATTTTATTTTAAATTTGGAAATAAGAAAAAATCGTAAAAAGCCAGGTCTGGCGAGTAAGGAGAGTGAGAGAGGTCAGTAATCTGATTTTTGGCACAAAACTGACGAATTGACAAAGCTGAGTGCGCGGGCGCATTGTCATGATGCAAGAACCATGAGTTGTCTCGCCACGGCTCTGGTCTCTTTGACGTAACCGTTGTAAATTGCTCTGATAGTACACACACTTCACCTCGAGGCAAGAATTCAAAAGACACAATTTAAAGTCAAAAAAAACATTGAGTATCACTATGACATTGGATCGAGACTGACATGCTTTCTTGGAGCGTGGAGATGCTTTGCCAATCCATTGCGATGATTGAAATTTTGTCTTAATGTCATAGCCGTAAACCCAACTTTCATCGCCCATTATTATCCTTTGAATAAATGTTTCATCGATCGTTATTGGATTGTTCAAGGAGTTACCGACAAACGTCCCATGATTTTGGTTCTGTTGTTCGGTCATCAAACGAGGAATACATTTTGCCTCAATCTTGACTTGAGCATTTTCGACTTTGTAATAATAGGCCGCCATTTTCAAGTTGGGGGTCCGGATTGCGGGTATTTGTTGAGCACCCCAACAATTATATTTTCCTGTAATTTCAACCAATTTCAGTCAAAGTTCTTTTTATTTAATTCCGAAAATTTTGCACATTTTTATTTTTACCGCTAATTTTGCAATGTAAAAAAGACCTATCCTTGTAGCAAATTTTCTCAGGAACAAAATCGATAAGTATAACTCATGTCGATTAGAGGCTTCTTTTCGGAGATATAAGGGAACAACTGGAAAAAAGCTATTATTTTTTTCTTTTGTTATAAACAATATGACGCTCAACCTCTACAAATACACAACTTTAGGCTTTTATTTTGTGTATTTTTTGCTTTTTTTTAAGCCCATAAAATTCGAGATGGGCCCGAATTCTGAAAAAAAATAATTCACCTGGACCACACCAGATCTTTGACTCTCTGAACGTGGCAGTTATTCATTGAAGTCGAAGGCCTTCCTGATCGAAGATCATCTTCAATTGACTGACGACCATTTTTAAATCATTACAACCATTCGTAACATTACGTATGACGCACATTTCAAAAATCGCCACTCTTAATCATGTTGCACTCAAATAACAATATCACGAAATCTAAATGAGATATCAACAATCCAAGAACATGTGGTTACTGAGGAGGTTATGGGCAACGCAATGCTGCTAACTTCATATCATTAAATATCTCTATTAGCGCGTAATTAAAAAAGTTCGGTTATTTTCTGAACAGACCTCGTATACCTAACCTACACTATCAGAGAAGTTAATGTATGATTAAGTTTGTAGGACGTCGGGACTCGGGAGGCGTTGCGGTCAAGGTTCTCAGATCTGACAAATTATGCTTTTATAATTATTATCACGTTTATTTCTTTTATTATCCAGTTTAGGAACAAATTATCTCTTTTAGTAGTTTGTGTTCTTATAGCTGTTTTACATTGACAATTTATTGATGAATAAATTGACGAATTTCTTCATCAATTCACGAATTTATTGGTAAACACTGCTATAGACTTTGTCAAGTTTTTTGACGTATGAATCGTTCTACCAACGAATCAAAGAAGCAAATAAATTTCAAAAATGTCACCTTTCCACTCATAATTGTAATGATACAACAGCGGTACGTTTTGGCACATATTATATAAATATCAGTGTATGTAAGTAACAAATCAGTAAAATCAATGCAAAACTAGCACGAAGCCACACAATTATTTACATATTCCAATAACATAACCTCAGTACTGGTCTGAGGCTGGAAGTCTGTTGGGTTGGTACTTCCGAACTTCACGAAGAAATTGACGAAAATTAGAACATGCTCTAATTCGTCAAGAACTTGATGAATAAATTCATGAAGTTATTTGACAGCAGATTTGGTGCATTACACTTGTCCAATTTCTTGATGAAGCGACTTTATCAATTAATTGATCAATAAATTGTCAATGTAAAACAGCTATTAGATCTGAGGGCATCAACCGTGCTGCCTCCTGGCCGCGGAAGATCCAAACTGTCAATGTTGTGAACTGTATCAAGAATGAGATAGACTTCTTTCGCCTGTAGGTGTATCTAATGGTATATAATGAACCAATGAAGTGATATCCATCGGATTTTATGCAGTTTTAAAGCAATTTACTTGCTTTAGTCGCTTGTTTTATAACTTTTGTTACTTTCTGCATTTAATGTACTTTCGTTCTTCTTATGAATTTACTAATTTATGAGTAAAGCTGTATTTATATAAAAATTAAAAATATACTTACTTTTCTTCAATTGAACAGAAGTATTGTTGATAAGTTTGAAAATCTATCACAGTCGAAGATAGTTCAGGGCAGTCTTTCAGAAGAACGCACCTGCCGGACTGCGTATTATTAATCGATAATTCCGGGCATGACTTTGGATCTGCTACAATATATGTTTCTCCTAGTTCGTAAGTTTCTAAAAATAAAATCGAATTAGAGGAGCTGTATAATGTATACAAGACATTACAGTTAACATATAACTGGTATTTCAAGGGAACTGATCTTACAAAAATGAAACGAAGAGCTCAAATAACTTATGGCCTAAAATTCTTCGTCTCCGAGATACAGGGTGTTAAATGTACACCTGAACACATTTTCTTATAATTTAGAAAGCTCTGTGATTCACATAAAATTAGGTAAAATTCTCAAATTTATTATTTCCGGATATTGTATACGGATACGAAAATACATTTTTAGAAATAAAAAAATATGTCTCACTGTTTGGCAATAGCGATACCTACTATTTTCTGAAATATAAAAATCAAAATAAACAAGAAAGGAAAAGGATTCAAATTTAATACAACTCCTTATAAATATAAAAAGGAGTAATAATAAAATTAACAAAAAATAACAAATAAGGTGTTCAAAACATCCTTACATTTTCGACATCATCGATAGATACATTTTTTTTTAACTCTAAATTTCTACACATTTCGCCATTCTTCTCATGAACCACGTAATTGATTCGAAGATTTATGGTTTATGCTGAATCCTGATTCCAAACATAACAGTCAAGTAGATTTAGGTTTGGTAATCGAGCGGATTAAGGTGTTGGTCTTCCAAGCTCTTTCCACTAGTTGAAAAATGTCATGCCTAAATAATTTCTTATGACCCTTCTTCACGATGGGCTTTCCATTGCAATTGGCCAGCGGAGGCCGCTCTAGCCGGAAATCATAGACTGTTATGAGCATAGACAAAATATGAGGAATTTCTTCAGTCCAGATTGGAAGAATTTGATAATTAAATGTTCCATTTCCAGGAAAACCTGCATCATTCATAAAAAGGGTAGAAGGTAGAAAACGTGGACTTTTAATGCAGCATATAAATAACCATCTGCAATAATCTTGACTCGGTCGATAATCTTCCTGATAAGAGCCTGAATTCTTTGAAAATAGTAAGGATGTAGATAATTTTTGTTTTTAATTCGGCTCTACCATGATTTATATTAGCTTGTCACTTGCTTTTTATTTGCATATTTGCATAATCTTCCTTTCTGTCTCTGACTCTTACTTTTCTTCAATGTATAAACCTTTCGTAAACGTTAATAAATCCTTAAAAAATTTTCGCTATTAGATTACTGGCATCTTTTTTTATAACAAAAACTAAATTTTATAAAAATCGAATTCAGCTTTTCAAAGTTGTAATACAAAATATGGTCTTCAGTAAGGTATACATTTAATAACCTCTTTGCGGAATGAACTTTTTGTCTTAGTTTTATGAGGTCTGTCAGTCTGTCGCATACCCAGAATAATTATTTCATAGACGAATTTTATTTTTGGACTTGGGATATCCCAGGTGAAATATATTCAGTATTAGCTCCACAATCCACAATTATTATTAGGTGATATTTTTAGATACATATTCCGTCACTCTTATATTTCTCAGTGACTTGTGTGTTACGATAGCAGTTTGCTAGAAATTTGTTTATTGGCAACCTAGCAGAAACCATCTTTACCAAAAGAATACGGTTAGAGTCCCTGTATTGAGGGAATACCGCAACTCACCATTGTAGCTCAAAAATAGACTCATTTAAGCCGAGTATGTATCCTATTTTATCATAATAACAGTTACGTTATTTCAGGGTTAAACGTTAAGGTTAACTTTAACTGTTAAGATATAACGTGCATGTTATTGAGGAATTAAGACCATTTTTAACAAATACTCGTATTGCAATTTTGTTGTTTTTTGAAGACGCTTTTGTGTCGACATTTTTAATTATAATTATGCAAAATTATTATAAACAAGAGTCAGTATTAGACAAAAACACATACAACTGACATATGTCTTTTAGGTTATGAAACATGAAACAAATGCAAACTCGTAAATAACGGGTAAGTACAACATAAAATAGTTTGTAACACGTTATCTTAAATTATAACAGAGTTTCTTAAAGGCAAGGAATTTGGTGTGGCTATAATTTAACGTACGTGTTATTTGCCTAATGAAAATGAACGGCTAACAAGGAAACTATCCCAACCCGAACTCTCCGATTTCCAATATTTTTATATATGTTGTAGACTCGGTTGTAGAACAAAAAATTAAATGACATTTTTTTATCGGCGGAAAAATATATTTATAGGGTGAAATACATCCTCAAAGTTCGCCCCCAAAAACAGTTTTTTCTAAATATCTGGGGTTCTAATCAATATTTTGGAATGAAAAAAAATGGAAATTGCTTCTTATAAAAAAACAAATGTGTCACATTAGATTCCGTGTTTGGAGGTTGGTACCCTTATTTTTTATTTCAGAAAAACTATATTTTTCAAACATTTTTTATATTTAAAAGAAATCATATTTGTTAAAAAAAAATAAAAAATATGATTTATGCAAACATATTGACAAAATTAAGTTCTCTTTTTAGGGGGTGAACAACCCTCTAGTGTGCTAAAAATGTCTGTACGATTAGAATTAACATTGCAAAATAAAAAGTTTGTACTTTTTCTCTAATCATACGAATAATTTGTCCTATTAGCCGCAAACAGATTTAAACGGATGCAAACTACCCCTCAGGTTCACCCCCAAAAACAGTATTTCTATGACATCTCAATATTTTGAAATAATATGGAAATTACTTTTTTTAAAAAATTAAATGTTTCACAAGTGATTCCGTGTTTGGGGGTTGCAACCCTTATTTTTTATTTCAGGAAAACTAAGTATATTTTCAAACATTTTTTATATATAAAAAATTCATATTGATTGAAAATATTAAAAATATGATTTATGTAAACAAATTGACAAAAATAATTTCTCATTTTACGGGGCGAACAACCCCCTAGTTATCCCCTAGTGTGCGAAAAATGTCTTTACTTTTTCTCTAATCATACGAATAATTTTTTCTCTTGGTCTAAAACGGATTTAAACAAATGCAAACTACCCCTGATGTTCACCCCCAAAAACAGTATATCCGTGATATCTCGGGTTCTAATAAATATTTTGGAATTAAATAAAATGGAAATTACCGAACCCGTTTTTGAGGGATGAACATCAGGGGTAGTTTGCATCAGTCTAAATCCGTTTTAGACCAATAAAAAATTATTTGTGAAATATCTGTTTTTTTATAAGAAGTACTTAATTACCATTTATACCAAAATATTGATTAGAACCCGAAATGTCACAGAAATACTGTTTTTGGGGGTGAACATGAGGGGTAGTTTGCATCCGTTTAAATCCGCTTGAGGCTCATAGAACAAATTATTCGTATGATTAGAGGAAAAGTAAAAACTTTTTATTTTGTAATGTTAATTCTAATCGTATAGACATTTTTCGCTCACTAGGGGGTTGTTCGAGAACTTAATTTTACCAATTTGTTTACATAAGTAATATTTTTATTTTTTTTAACAAATAGGAATTTTTTATATATAAAAAATGTTTGAAAAATACTTAGTTTTTTTTAATAAAAAATAAGGGTAGCAACCCCCAAACACGAAATCACTAATGAAACATCTGTTTTTTTTAATAAGAAGTAATTTTGCATGTTGTTTTATTTCAAAATATTGATTAGAACCCCAGATATTTAGAAAAAACTGTTTTTAGGGACGAACTTTGAGAATGTATTTCACCGACATATTATTTAATAATAATGCAGAATTATTATAACTACCCGACTCAATAGACAAAAACACATACAACTAAAAGAGTTCTTTTAGGTTATGAAACACGAAACAACGTAGAGCGCAAATAACAGGTACGTACAACATAAAATAGCGGCCGTTTACGGCACGTTATTTACAAACGTTATTTCTAACATAACGTTTTAGCGTAAATGGGATACATACTTGGCCTGAATATCATATTTTTGTTAAAATATATTGGTAATACAAGTTTTTCAAAATTTATTTTTATTTACTCCTTCGAATAAAGTAAGAGTAGAGCAAGTTGTTATAATGATATAGATGATAAATACGAAAAAGTAGCGAATTAATTCTTTGATATCATCCATTGACTTGAAGTATTTCTATGATTACTAGTAAATGAACTTACTTTCTGCCACTGTTATAGTTCCATTGGGATTTAATGCTGAAGATAACCAATGATAATCACTTGGAGGCGATTGAACGGGCGTTTTTAGAGCTACTTCTATTTGACCATCAGGCACAGCTACAAAGTAAAACGTATTATATTAAATCTATTCTATGTAATGTCAAAATCGCAATACACATTTCTTTATAGATCAAATTATTCATAAATATATACATATATTTGTTTTTATATATGCTATTTTTCTCTTTTACTTGGAAACATTTTTATAGTGTTATAGGTTTTTCTAGATAGTGATTAATTTTATAATTTGTCAAAAGTCTGTCTTTTGCGAAAAATGCTTTATAATTTTAATATGTAATAAAACATTCTTGAATGATATGCCGAGTGTAAAAGGCCAAATTTCACTGAGGCTGATCCAGCCAGGTTGGTGCAGCCTGACGGGTCCAAAACGTAATGCAACAAATGAGTATACACTCTTACTGGGCTGGTATACAGGGCTGTTATTTTCAAGCGGGATTGTAGGCAGGTCCCGCCAGGCTGCATCAGCCTGGCTGGACCAGCCCCAGTGAAATGCGGCCGTAAGAGTAACTTTGCGGCAAAGTTTCAGAGCTTATTCTTATCGGTAAAACAAATAAAATACAAGAGTAACATTTTTTTCCAGAAAAAAAAAACTTTTTAATAACCAGTTACTCAAAAATCACTTAATCAAATTTGGTACGTTACGTTTCCTCCATAGTAACTGCTTTAATGTGGAATTTTAAGAAAGGGTAACCAGTGCTCTCGAAATTAAGAGGTCTGAGCTGTTTCAACTGAAAAAATGAAAATGAAATGAATGAATGAATGAATGAAAAAGTGAACAAATTTTGTTTGACAATAAAAATATCTTACATATTTGGACTATTTTGCATGCAATCTCTGAACAATTACAAAAATTCTAGAAAGGAATTTAACAATCTAACATTTCGTTCAAATAAATGTGAAGATTTATTTTCATGCTAGGAAAAAAAAATTAAGAGGTCAAGCTTCGACTGGGAAATATATTTCAAAAGATGTAAAAGATAATTCGCTTTAACGCCAAATGGTTTTTCGACAGTTGACACTGAATCAAAGGGCTACATATCTTCAATAGTTCTTGTCGTTACCCTTTCATTTTTTTGTTACTTAACGTACAAACCTACGTTAAAAATTTTATGAGAAGCTTTTAGAATATGTCATCTTTGTTTTAAATTTATGGAGAGAATGGGTTTATTGATATCGGTACACTTTAAAGTAATTTTTTGTTAATGCCAAATAATATACTCACCAAAAGATTGAAGTAGAACTGGCGAAGCTGGCGTTGTGAGATATCCTACAATTAAATGTATTTTACGTTTAGTTAAAGGAAGTGTGACAGGTCAACAATAATTAACTTACCTCTTTTTCCAAATACTGTTAATCCATGTGGACGACCTAAACCTGTAATTAATTAGAACATAATTACACATTTTTCATATTAGAAGCAATAACTGCTTAAATCCGAATCGTCTAAACTAAGATCGGTGCCTCTGCAGGATCTGCAACCCTTTATACGTCTCCAATCCGGATGATGAAATTTTGTTTTGTTTTAGTTGATTAGTGACATGTTAAAAGTAAAATTGTACCTATAATTTTTTTATGTCATAAACATATACAGGGTGCCCCATAATTATTGCGACAAAATGATAGGGGCTGTAGAGGGCATGAAAATAAGCAATTTTGCCTTATAAACCTCTGTCCGGAAATATGCCGTTTGGCCGCTACAGCGCAGATGCCCCCGGACTCACTAGCTTGTTGTGTTTACATTTTTGTCGACCTAAACTCGCCACACCGATTGTGGGCGGCGAGCAGAGCGGCATTGTGGACGAGCAGATCATCGGGCCATATTTGCTCCCACCACATTTGAATGGACACCTTTATGCTCAATTTCTACAGCATATTTTTCCGGAACTATTGGAGAATGTGCCACTTGATACAAGAGCTGACATGTGGTTTCAACACGATGGAGCTCCAAGTCACTTTGCTTTGCCAGTGCGGCAGTATTTTGACGAAATTTTTCCCAACAGGTGGATATGCCGAGGTGGCCTTGTGCATTGGCCTGCGCGGTCGCTCGACTTGATCCCGTTGGATTATTTTCTCTGGGGCCATCTAAAAGCTTTAGTGTATGAAACTCCTGTTTCCAACCAACAAGAGCTACTCGGAAAAGTGATGGCCGCGTCCGCACAAGTTCAGGACATACAGGGGACATTCCAGAGAGTTCACCAATCAATGAACAATTGTGCCCAATTGTGTACTGAGCAACGTGGAGGACACTTTGAGCAATTACTCTAAGCTGTTTCAATAAACTGGAATTTTTTGATATTTTTCTTTGTTTTTGCTGTAGCGGCCAAACATACATATTTCCGGACAGGGGTTTATAAGGTAAAATTGCTTATTTTCTTGCCCTCTACAACTCCTATCATTTTGTCGCAATAATTATTTTACACCCTGTATAGTCTACCTTTTATATCTTAATCAATATAGCAAAATCATTGGTATTTTTAATTCTGGGTGGCAATCCAGAGAGAAAAAATAAATCAGAGCCAGAAAGACTTGTATTTTGTTTCCATATCTGCATACCTGCTGCGAATAGTGAAGGTACTTATGTATTTTTAAAAATGCTATACGAAATTACATCAAGAAGAACTGTTCAAAATGCATATTCCTTCACATAATTAAAAATTCATACAGGGTGTCCCGAAGAGTAGAATATAAATAGATGGGGTCAAAATAATATCAGTTCTTCATATCATTATTTTTTCATACGGGCCTTCGTTAACAAGTTACGGGCCCTCAAAGGTGAAAATTAGAAAGTTATTTTTATTTCATCTCTAAACTATTAACTTCAGCATGTTGCAAATTTGGTGACCGATTATTATTTTTGATGTTGTAATTAAAACTTCATATTGCCCAGAACGCCAGGGACGGACTATGCCCAATAGTTAACAACCCAGAATTTTTGCATAGACGACGATCGCAATCTGCCTGTATCAAAAATAAGTTCCCTGAAGAATTTGCCAACGATAATACCCTCTTGGTTCAACTCGGTAAAATTAACAGTTTAGGAAATATTTGGGATTTTGTCACAGTACATATCGAGCTGCGCCTCCACCATTTTTTGCTTTTAATTTTTAATTGGATATAATTACTATGTTAGAACCGTACATATTTTCAAAATAAAAGTCTAGAAAGTCTTACTGTCTGCTAATGTAATTTTCATTAACAAAATTTGACATATACACTTTACACATAACACAAAATAGAAAAACAAACAATAAGTTAAAGTAACTTAAAAAAATAATTTGAAAGAAAGGAAACTATCAAAATACATTTTCAATATGGGCACTTTCCACCTCCACACATTTCCTAACTCTACGAATGTTATTTGTTTGTACACGAATAAGCATTTCTGGGGTATGGCTAATATTATCACAATGGAAATTAATTTTTTGTAACAATTGTCTGTACTAGGGTTATGTACACTAAACTTTTCATGTGTCCCTACTGCAGAAGTGCATCGGGTTAAAGTCTGGAGAACGTGGTGATTATGAAATTGGACCTCCTCGCTCAATCCCTTTATTATTAAATACAATAGATAAATAATTTCGTACATCATTGTAGAAATGGGGAGGAGCTCCATCGTGCATGCACCAAACGTTTCTTCGGGTGTCTAATGGAACGTCGTCTAATAGTGGCTGCAAATTATTTTGCAAAAACTCCAAATATCGATATCTATTCAGACGTTCCTCAAAAACGTACGGACCTATTAAATTATTACCCCAGAAATGCTTTTTCGTGTGCAAACAAATAACATTCGTAGTCTTAGAAAGCGTGTGGAGGTGGAAGGTGCCCATATTGAAAATGTATTTTGTTTTCTTTTTTTTTAATAATTTTTTAACTTCAATTTATTCTTGTTTTGTTTTTTTATTTTGTGTTATGAGTAAAGTGTGTATTTTAAATTTTATTAGTGAAAATTACATTAGCGGACAGTAAGATTTTCTAGGCTCTTATTTTAAAAATATGTACGCTTCTAACATAGTAATTAAGGGCGCCATATTATTTAAATAGTGTTTTCCACAAAGACAAATAATTTCAAACTTAATTTAATAACTGAATAATCTAAAGCTTATCAAATAATAGGCATGTTATGTCATGCCACCTGACGATTTTCAAAGACGCCGCAGTAAAACGAATAAACAGGTGCAAAAAACGATCAAACCATCAAGGTTTTAGGTACTGAAATCTACGAAAATACTAACTTTTTTATATATAACTCCACATCTAAATATTCTTATGATATTTACTTGCTTAGTCCTACATATAAAATTGTTTACTTTTATTTATAAGTACGTGAAAATAATTCTTAAAATGTGAGGTTAGTATAACAGCAAACGCATGTTTTACAAACGCTTTTTTTAGTTATTATTTTATTTGAGTAAATTTAAATGGTAACAATGAATAAACAGAACATCAAGGATTTTATTTTTGTGCTTAATTTTGTTCTACATTTTTTACTTTTCAAGATTTCAGTATCTAAAAACGCCAGAGATTTCACTATTTCTCGGCCAGGGATATGGTCACCTTAAATGCAATTAAAAATTAAACTGTTAATTTTACGAAGTTGAACCAAGAGGGTATTATCGTTGGGAAATTCTTCAGGGAACTTCGTTTGCGATCGTCATCTATGCAGAAATTCTGGGTAGTTAACCATTGGGCATAGTCCGTCCCTGGCGTTCTCGGCATAATGAAGTTTGAATCAAAACAAGCTGTACGCATGTGTTATCGATCACCAAATTTGCAATATGCTGAAGTTAATAGTTTAGAGACTGTAAATAAAAATTACTTTCTAATTTTCACTTTTGAGGGCCCATAACTTGTTAACGACCTAACCCCCTACACTATAGGTTCCATAGCGAGCGCGCGTGATAGAAAAATAGTTTTTGAGTTTCATACTGTGTATACGCAGCTTTGGAGTAGTGGATCAAGATTCAGTGGGCGCTAAACATTACTAGGTATGTGTAAAGTAAGGAATAAAGAGTAAACAATATCTTTAAATAAGATTAATAACTAATAAAACATTTTAAAATCTGTATTGAAATACATACATTTTGGTACGCCCAAGATATCATGAAGGCATACCTAAGACGTTCTTTAATAACTTACCTGCGGAACTCAATGAAGCTATGGCACTTTGCGGAAATCCAAGAGCTATACAAAATCTTAATTTAGTTTGCGTTACAAATTAATTTATTAAATTTTTGCTACTTCATACCTCTAATTGTGTCGTCATTATAGGATTTGGAGGCATCTTCCGTGTTAACCGCATTGGTTTCGTTTGGTTTCACAACCACAAGGGACGTAATATCGGTCACAAAGGAATATTTAAGGGCAAGATCTAAAGCTTTCTTCGTCAATTCTTCTTTATTTTCCACTAGTTCCCTCTCATCCAGCGTTTGTTTAACTGTTAAGTAGGCCCAAAGTCTTTCTAAAGAAGATACTGGAGTTTCTATCTTTGGTTTCAAAATTTGTTTTCCCTCAGTATTCCTGCCAGATACTTCTTTCGGCGGGCGAAAATCTGAATCGGCAACTAAAATAACAAATATTTAGTTTAACCAATGAATGATCGTAATTTTTTATTGTTTGTATTAATATTAATAATTAATTATTATTAATAGTCTTAATGTTAGGACAGTTTTCCAAAGTACCATTACGTTAGGGACAACCGCTGTTTCGTTTTAGATATAACAAAATTTGCCATTAAAGTTTGGATATTAAATCCTAGCCTACCTACCGTGGTATCGTCCAGTTACTACAATTTCTGATCCTTTAAAGTATACAGGAAATCTTGTTTTAGAGGTTTCCTGGACATCATCGTTGTAAATAAATGTGATATTAGATAGTAATGGAGAGGAAATTTGTTTATAAAATTCCTGTAGCTGCAAAGAGGCATCGGAGGCCTCATAAATGTGTCTGGAGAATCCTTGGTTCTTTAAAGACAGCTTCCTCAAAAATTCCTTATTAGCTCCTTCTCCAAAAGACAGGGAAAATATGGGAATATTATTGTTCTCGGCGTTTAAACGTGTTACCTAAAAGATTTATTAAAAATGAATGTCAAGCTTAGTTGAGTTATATTTTGTTTTTACAATTTTCACAATTTCTTCCTCATTACTTAGACCAATATTAGGTTGACCATCGGTTAAAAATATCATGATTGGTTGATATTTCTTTTCACTATCTTGTGTTATTTTTGCCAAATATAAAGCCATTTCCAAGCCACCAATCATAAAGGTGCCACCACTACTGTAAAATTTGTCAGTAACTTGTTTTGCTTTATACAAATTATCTTTTGTAGCCCTTGTACCAGCTGGCAAGTCCAATTGCTGAAAACAATATTTTAATTAACAATCCAACTAATTATTATTTGTCAAGAAATCTTAGTTATAAATGTAATGTTAAAACTTTTAAATCATTAGGGTTTGAAAACATTTCTTTGCTTTCTGGTATCGACTTTATGCGAATATATAATATACTGTTGTAGTGCTAAGCGGAATTTGAATTTCACAATTTCCAGTTTAATTAAAAAAAACCTTCTAAAACCCATTCACGATATACATATCCCGACAAAAGCACGTATCCATAAGGGATCTTAGATGACTTACTGCCATATACACAAGGGAAGATGTAAAGCAAGAAACGAGATTTTCATAGATATTTCGAAAATATTCCAAAAATTCCCCTAAGAATCCCCGATTTACGCCAAGCACCATCAGCCATCACATACGATTCCAGTAAAACACGTTACCTATAAATGAGTGAAAATTTTCCACTCATTTCCAAATTCAACGCGAAGACCACAACAGGACGCTTGCGGATTCGGCCTGCAGTGTGTTTGAACGTCAACCTGATTGTTCTGCAACTCATTAATCATACTAGTACTTAGGTTCTCTCCGGAGATCTCATAAACACTAAGTGTTTAGGCAAACCCTGCAAAAAAGGCAGTGATAATAGACACAAGAGTGTTAAACTCCATGTGGAAATAAGCAAAAAGTGTAAAAAAGCTCCCAGAAACAATAACATCACGAGGGTGCAGAAGTGCGGTTCTAGGCAAAAATAATTAGAGCGTGGATCTTACTACTATATAGGCAAAACACCTCGCCACCGATGAAAAAGTGATAAGCGCGGCCTACTCTTACTCAAACGTCCATTGAGGTTGGCGTGAAGAGAGAGAAGCAGACAATCCCCCTGAATCTCGATAAAACAGTCGATCTGCCATACTAGAGGTATGGAAAATTATAGGCAAAACTACTTTCCAGGACATGGCTCTCAACGATGGGGTCAAATGTTCAATATGGAAGTAGAACACCTTAATCCACGACAATACGTTTCTAACCCTGAAGATTGATTATCTCGTTCAGCGAGCTAGTGGCAATGAAAAGCTACAAAAACACCGTGGAACTCTGAACAATCTCGACCAAGTTGGATGTTTCAACTTAATAAATAATGAGCTGTAACGAGTTTCCAATACAAATTTTCAATTACTTAACTTATGGGTGGGTATCTTTAATGGTATCCCAACTGATCTTTCATTCTACCAAAAAAATTAAATGACGCCCACTATCTGAATTTTTTTCAAAATTCTACCTATCCATACATGTGATTTCTCCATGTTCTGAACAGAAGTTCAGACAGTTGAAAAGTTGCGTGAAACAATTTAACTTGCAGCAGAAACAATTCGTCAACAGGAAGCCTTACCTGTACCGAATCTTGGATCGGCAATACACGATTTCTTGTTCAGAAAAACGGGCACAGTTTTGAACGTTTTGTCTTATTCCACTCAATTTTCGAGTTCCCAATGCTCGTGTCGACTATTTCTGTGAAGCAGAAAACACTACACGGAAAGCGAACTTTTTACTTCGAATTCAATCGCCGAAACAGAGCAAACCGATCTCGCAGTTCTGTAACCAGGGCGAAGTTCCCTGGCCAGCACGAATACGCAACCCAAAATCAAGAGGATTTGTTGGCTTTCTGTACTTGAAGCTGCCGTTTCTTATTGAATGGGAAAATAAGTCTTAGGGTCATACTGAGAGTTTCACAGGTCCAAGAAACCTGAAAACCCAAATACAGTTTCTGGAATCGTTAATCTAATTTCAATTTTAATCAGATAGTTGCATTGTGTAGCACTTCTTGTTATACATATACGTATCAATTTATTGTAAAAATGTAAAAAAATAAACATTTTTAGAATTCAGAACACCGTTAAAAATTTTTTGCAAGCGCATCACTCGAGACCTAGACTAACTAATCTAGCGTCCATTTCACTCATTGTCAGGACTGTCTGTGCTTGTGGCAAAAATCCTAAGGGATAAATGTCAAAAATGTATAAAACAGAAATAGTGAAAAAACTAGCCAAAAGGTAAAAGTACTCATGAATCCTAAGATCATTTCAGTGGTTCAATTGACATCATTTCTACCAAACACCCAGCCACAATCGAGAAACGACCAACTAGCGGACGCGCTCTCCTCCAGGCATTGTTTGATACAATCCCGTTCACCTCTTTGTAAGCCTGCAGGAGGCAAGAGTTCCAGGACCGTCTGAAGAATACGAGTAAAAATGTCGGTAATCCCCGGAATAAAAGTAGGTACGGAAAAAGTAAAACCGCCACAAGTTATTATAATTTTAAAATTAGCACATTTGCATCTCATTCAACACTTGCACAGAAAGCAAGAGAGTTACTACTAGTTTTTTAAATTATTTATATTGTAAAAGAAAAATATAGTCTATAGTCTGACGTTTTTGCAATAAAATAATTATTTTAATATGCCATCTAAAATTTAATACAAAGTTTTTTTCTCCGTCTTGTTCAGGGCCGTAACAGACAATTATTGGGAGAATAATATTTAAAAAATTAAAAACTTTTATAAATGTATACTTATACGGTTCCATTTTAATATAAATACACAACTGTTCAAATTGAAACCACATTTACAAAATACCCTGTATATATTTACTAATAAAAATACTTACACTTAAATTAGTAAACGGTTTTTCATAGTTCAGATTATGTAGCGGTATCTCTTTCCTATCTTCTTTAGGAATGTCCCATACGGAAACGACACTTCCAAAGTCAATAACACTTATTAAGTCTTCTTCTCTTATTTCGTCCAAAATACTGTGCAACGCATCTTTTACCTGAATGGTGCTTCTACCTGCCATACTTCCACTCGAATCTAACACAAATAAAACGTGTTTCGGTAGCGGTTCCAAATCTTCTGGGGCAAAGAAGTGTACAAAATACCCATCTCGAAGTAATACCTAAAATATATAATACTTAATAATAATATAGGATGTCCCAAAATTCACACAAGATTTGAATTTTGAAAAAAATATCGGTTTAACGTTGACAGTTCAGGGTTATTCAAAATGGAGATTATTTTCTTTGGGGTTTTTTGAAGTCTAAGATTTATGCCTAGCCCACGACCACCCACGTCTTGAACGAGGAAATTGAACCGCGTTTATGCAAAACGGTCATGGAAAATTTCAATAGAAAAGTGTGTATGTGCTAGCAAAGCCATGGATTCTATTTAATATGCTATTCCATACATAGCTCTATACTGCATACTTCATGAATCAACAGAAAATTTACAATTTTTATTGAAAAACATGTTTTTTCATCAAAATTGCTTCTTGTGTGAATTTTGAGTTTTATACATAGATAGTGTCTTATTTAATTGAATTCTTTAATTATGGTAAAACTTCACAATTAATAAAGTTATAGAAAAGAAAGGAACTAAATTTTATGAAACTTTTTGAAACGTACCTCTCCGCCATGGGGATCTCTATCTATATCGTATTGAACGACAAATTGTCCAGATAGACCATCGGATTCCTTGTCTCCAAGATCATGTGCAAATTGCTTCTGCTTTTCTGAGTCGGGGTTAAATTTTACTACTGCTGATGTTGAATTAATTATCTGTATGTCAGAAGAAGGATCTAATTTATCTTCGTTCTTGCTGATTTCGTTTCCAGATCTTAACGACGGAGTCCTAACAAATTTTAGTGGTCTAGTTTCATTTATTTGTACCTAAAAACAAAGGTCAATATTAACTTAAGGAAAAATTGCCTTTGTAAAGTCAATTCGATTTGCTTTTTAAATTAATACGTAGTAGAAAATATAAAATGTAGACGTATAACTGAAAAAAAGTCGGAATTATTACGATTCTGGAAGACTAAGACAACTCAGAGAATTTTCTATCACCTGTAGCTGTCCGTTCGTAAATATCGGAAGGTGATTTAAGTAAATTCGTAAAATAATGTCATAAATGACATCTAGAAAGAAATCAGTTTAGAAATAAAGTTAATTTGTTAACTTTTAAACTTCCTATTTCATAAAATTATAATTTGATTTAGTTTATGCTTTATAAATTAAACAATATAAACAAGCCCTCTAATTAAACTATTTTTGGCATTATTAATTAAAATTAATTTTACTTGTTCTCTACAAACAGGGTGTTCCTTAATATTATGCGAATATTTAAGGGTGTGATTCTACATGGAAAATTAATGAGTTTGCTTCATAAACTATGGTCCAAAAATTTTCCGTTGCAAAAATACGGGGTGTTAAAATTTTAAGAAAAAGCATTAAATTAATTAATATTTTCGAAACCGCTTGATATATTTTAGTGATATTTAACATAATTTTTAGCTCTAACAGTGGCGTACGTACGAGCAGTGACTTTGATATTTTTGAAGAAAAAAATTGTACACCAATAGTTTTTTCCCAAATAAAATTAATTTTGAAATCCTCTTCGAAAGATAAGAGCTCTCTTGAATTTTTGTCCTGCGATGCGCAGTTTTTGAGTAAAAAAAACATAATTATTAATAATTTTATTATAAGTGGGTACTATACTTATTCTTTTTTGTATAACATATATTATTTGTTATTTACTTTGTACTCACCTTCACATTCAAATCTTTCACAATTTGCCCAGGACGAATGTTTACAACCTGTTCGTACTGACCGTTTCTACGTTCAAGCAGTTCTTCGTACGTCAGAAGAAATACTACTTTTGCTTCAGGTTCGACGTTGACAGATACCGTGAACTTGTTTGAATTCCTGGCGCTAACTGCGACGTGGCCAGCACTTTGACCACTAGCCACTGCCTGAAATGAAGGGATATGTCTGTAATCCACAAATTGCAATCTTATACTAAATTAATCATTAGATACAGTTTAATAAATTAATTATGGCTATAGAAAATCAAAACAATTTTAGTAGGGACGTTCGGAATATTCGTAGTCACTAATGAGAATTATTTACATCAAATTTTAAATTCGCATTCGCATTGAACAAACTACAACCGCAATTCATTTTCTTCTTGTTAAAATAAAAGTATTACATTTTAGTTTTCCCTTTTCTCTTTATAAATTACAAAACAATACTAGAAAATATTTCAAAAATTGTAGTAATTCTTTTCATGTACGAGGTTTGTTCACAAAATAATCGAACTTTTTTTAATTACGCGCTAATGGAGATATTTAGTGATATGCGGGTGGCAGTATTGCGTTGCGCATAACCTCCTATCTAACTACATGTTCTTTAATTGTTGATATCTCATTTAGTTTTCGTGATACTGTTATTTGAGTACAACGCGTTACAATTTTTTAATTATGCGATTTTCTGGAACAACGATGCAACGTAAAATTTTGTGTGAAACTGGAAAAAACTTTCATGGAAACGTTTCAACTTTTGAAATAAGTTTATGAAGATGATGCTCTGGATCGTACGTAATGTTACGAATGGTTTTCACAATTTAAAAATGGTCGTCAGTAAATAATTGAAGGTGATCCTCGCCCAGGAAGGCCTTCGACTTCAACTGATGTTTCCAGTTCAGAAAGTCAAGGATCTAGTGCGTGCAAATCGCCGATTGACTGTCAGAGAAACTGCAGAAAAGGTTGCAACAAAAGTTGTTCCTCGTTCGATGACCCAACAACACAGGGAAAATCGTATGGACATTTGTTGGCAACTCCTTGAAAATTCAATGATGATGAAACATTCATTCGAAGAATCATAACGGGTGACGAAAGCTGGGTCTACGGTTATGACATTTAGACAATCATCACAAATCATCACAAAGGATTGGTAAAAGATCTCCACGCCCCAAGAAAACACGTCAGTTTCGATACAATGCCAAAATGGTGCTCACTGTTTTTTTCGACTTAATGGAATTGTGCCTTTTGAATTCTTGCCTCAAGGTGAAACAGTAAATCCAGTGTGCTATCAAAGCTTTTACAATGGTTACCTGAAAAAATGCGCAAAGAGAGACCAGAGTTCTGGCGAGACAACTGATGGTTCTTGCACCATGACAATGTTCGTCAGTTTCGTACCAAAAATCAGATTGCTATCTTTCCCCACCCTTCTTACTCACCAGACCTGGATCCTTATGATATTCTCTTGTTTCCAAAATTTAAATCAGTGCAAAAAGGACGCCGTTTTCAAACTATCGATGACATCAAAGTAAATTCGTCAAAGGCCATTTCAATTGAAGCTATCCAGGACTGCTTCGCAAAATGGAAATAATAATAAAGTTTAAAAAAATTAAGTTCGGTTATTTTCTGAGCAGACCTTGTACATATACTGAGCTAGATATACAGGATGTAACTTAAGTAAATAAAAATATTTCAGAGAATAAAAAGTTTGTTTTAAAATTGGCTTAGTTTTTGATATACAGTATGTTTCAGTTTTTGAAAAAATACTATATCATTGAAGTTTAACCTAACATGATAAAATTTGGTCTAGGGTCTTCAATTTAAGTTCTATCTCAGTAAAGGTAAAAAGACACTGAATCTGTATATGTAAGTCAGTGGCGAGGTTATGACTGAGTTAAAAAAAACCGTATAGACTTGTATCTACCTACTCTAATTTTATGGCGTGTTCCGATTTGCTGATACCAAAACGCATCATAAAGGGTGTTTGCTTCAGTAAGAACACTTTTTACGTTACAATATTGCGAGATCGTGTATAAATATATTCATCATAATGAACCACTTTAAATAAGAGTCTGTAACAAGACAAGGTCTTTGTCATTCTACAGAGATATTATTTATTTATTTGAAAATACACTGTTCTACAGATTTACACCCAATTACAGAATGGGATGGTAAATAATATAACATACTTGGCAAACAATATAACCTACCTACTATGTTGAAAAAAATAACAGTGAGGAAAAAAAGTTTATCTAACAGAAAAATGAATGTTTAAAATATAATTTAAGACTATTTAGCCTGCAGTTAAAAATAAGCCTAATTCATAAAAACTTTTTTCTTAAAGTTTCTCCCGCTGATTATCTTGCAAGAGTCAATTACGCAAATTGGTTTTTGCGATGATTTAGGCAAAATACAAAATTAATTAGTATTGTTTTGTTCACGGACGAAGCCAGTTTCAATCGAGACGCATTAATGAATTGCCATAATTTGCATATCTGACATGAAGAAAATCCCCATGCAATAGTACAGACAAAGCACCAACATCATCATTGAATCGTTCTTTTCGAAGACATTAAATGGTGCCATGTATTTACAATTCTTGAAACAAAACATAAACGATTTATTTATTAGAAAATGTGCCCTTAGAAATTAGAAATCAGATGTAGTTTATGCATGACGTGCATAGCCCCATTTTAACAATTTATTTCAATCAGCACTTATCAAATACTTTTGGTTATCAATAGATAGGTCGAGATGAGCCTATTTTTTGGCCAACGAATTCGCTCGTCATGGATTTCTTTTTATGGGGAAATTTAAAGAGGCTTGTGTATTCGACGCCAGCTCATACCAGGAAAAACCTGATAGAAAAAATAACACACCATTACAACGAAATTCGAGACAATTTTGGAATATTGTTTCCAGTACAACGAGAAAGCATCTGTCGGATAAGGAGATTTAAAAAGACGACAATTTTGAAGATCTGCTGAAGTAAACAAGAAGAAGCAAAGCCGAATTTTTAACAGCATTGCGTTTAAGTGATTTGGAAATGTATCAGAATAAATTCTTCTTGCCTCCACACAATTGCCATGTGCTTGTCCATCCATAAGTTAGATGCTTGTAAGCATTAATGAGATGTAATAATAATGCCAAATTTTATTATTTTAATACGAATTATTAGTTGTGAAGTTATTCCATTATTATTGTGTTTAAATAGCTTGTTAACAAACTTTAAAATTATAGTACATTGTGTAACAAGTGGGGAAAAGTTGCCAATAGCGCCACGCGGACGCAGTTGATGCACGAGCGAAGCGAGTGCGGAAAGCGCTCAAGTGGCGCTATGGCAACTTTTCCGAACGAGTTGCACATACTATTTTCTATCACAAGTGCGAGTCGTTATGGGACCTATAGTGTAGGGGGTTAGGTGCACGGAAAGTGCTAGATAGTACAACAGCATGATGTTATTTTCATAGCGCAACGCTCCAGCGTGCACCTAACCACACTTTCCGTGCACCTAACCCCCTACACTACTAGGCAATCCAAACCACGTGACAAAATTGGTGTTCAATATGGCGTCGAGGGCAAACATTTGCTTGATTCATATAAACTTATGTGTGTTTTGTTAAGAGTTTGCGTTTTTCTATTAGCTTGGCTTTGTTTTTTTTAACTTTGACTGTATAATGAGTGTTTCGTGGATTGTAGTAGATAGTCTTTGTTATTGTCAATTAGGACTAGCCAAGAGTTTAAATCTAACACAGTTATAAGGCTATTCAATACATTTGTAAGATCAAATTTGGAGTATTGCAGTATGATTTGGAACCCACAAGCTACCAGTAACAATGACACAATAGAGAAAATACAGAAGAAGCTTTTAAGGTCAATATATGTTAAAGAGTATGGAGTGTACCCGTTCATGATATCACATGAACATCAACGAGCAGAGTTTGGTGTGACCTCTTTGGATAGGAGAAGAGAAAAGGTTCAGATTTTATTCGCTTAAAATATTTTACATAGTCACATTGTTGTTCCCAATTTGTTGGCGTCTATTAATATTAATGTACCCGATATGAGAATGCGAACTAGATATTGACTTTTTAAAATATTTAATATTAATTCACCCCTAGAACAGTGTCTGTGTACGGTGAATAATTTGTTAAGAACATACGATATTGATATTTTTAATATTAGTCGGACTAAGCTACTCTCATACTTGTGATACGTATATGATTGGGTGTTTTATGCACATTTTAATTGACATTTTTTTGTTTTCTTTCTTTGTTCTCTTTTTACATTGTATTTTGCATGTGTCTGGTTGTTTATACATTATTTTTAACTGGTTTTTATATTAGCTAACATTTCTCAACTGTATACATGCAATTGGACTGTCCCTTTGTCTGCATGCAGTATAAATTAATAAATAAATAAATATGCAGTGATTATTTAAAGAATATAAAAATATTTATTAATGTAACGTTGGCATTATAATGAAAAATACATAAATTAAGGAATTTGAATCTATTGATATCATTGTAAAAATTCTTGATAGTACCAAACAAATTTTTCTTGATTTTTAAAAAGTATAATTCAATTCTATTTTCGCTTGTATTTTCTAGTAATTTTCTTCTTTTATATATCCATGTTTGGCGCCGTTTTCTCGATAAATCTTTTAAATGAGGAAAATATTTAGAATTCACTACGTTAGGTAAACAATGAAAGCTAACTTGGTCTCGATTTCCACGACTTCCACAACCCACTACTATGCATGTTACCGGCATTAGTAATACATATCGTTGCGACACAATTCAATAAAAGACAAGTTGAACACTTCCTTAAATAACATACATGAATAATTCCTTCCAAAAAACTCGGATTAAACGCTTTTAACTAAAAACTTTTCGAAAACGGCTGATTTTATCAAAACAAATGTAGAGTACCTTTTTAAAGGGGAATAACCAAAGTATTTAAAAATTCAGTTTTCAGCTCTATAAAATGACACCTGTCGAAATTTTGACCCAACGTGTGTGGCAAGTCCGTTCCTGACTTCTCTAACAGTATAAGTATACAGTCTACTGTATATGGCTTTATGAGCCTTTGTGGTCTACATAAAATATTAAAATTTCATTAAATTATACAAATCGGTTCAAAAGTTAGAACCGAAAAGGTAAATCGCTGAGTACCCCTTTGGGGCTCTGTATCTCCGTTAGGGTTATTTTGACCTCCCCTATACACTCCTAAGAGTATGCCATATACTTACCAGACACCCTGTATATGCATAGGGCTTGCAGTTAATAAATCAGTTTAACATTTTTTATAACTGGATAACGTTTAATTTTATGTTTACGTTGATTATAAAATAATATTAAGGTTTAGGTTGAAAATTCGTCTAATTTAAACCGTTATGTTTTGAACCTTTATCGTTACATCAACCAAAACCATGTTATTTTAAACCAATAGATCTTACATTTTAAAACTTTTAGTGTTATATCAAATAACAATTTTTACACATTTTGTTTACCTAACCGGATGAATTTCTTCCTGTAAACAACAAAATTTGTTGTTACCTTGAGATGAGTGAAGATAAAAGATGACTATATAACTTATTTGCATAATAATTAATTGTTTGCCATTGTATGTTTATATAGTGTTACAATATGTATCTAAATTATTTATTACGTCTGTGGATCACAATTGAAGAACTAATCGTTCCGTCATCGAAGCAAGATATTCTGGGTTTGCAAACTAATATAATCTTTCGGAATTTAATGAGTGATACAGAGACTTATGGTTTTGGTCTTTTATATACAAATATGTCTTGTTCAGTGTTACATTTTTGTTGAAACTCTTAATTGGTTCTTTCAGATGAATTGTTTAATAGCCAATTTTAAGTATACGAGCAAGTAAAAATCAAACCTTGTTGTAAATATCCTTCGCCTCCTCCTTTTCCTTTACGTACGCTTTATAACTTTTCCCACCGATTTCCATAACAAATTCGGAAATAAACGCCTTATCTGGTAATACGACAGTAAAAGTTGTTTCCTTCGCCACTTTTTCTATATTTTTCACTTTACTAACTACTAGAGTCGTCGCGAAACGATTAGAGATATTAGATGTTATATCCATTTGGTATATACTTGGATATTGGAGTGCACCGTTGCTTGTGGCATCCTAAAAAAAATGAAATTATATTGTAAACGTGGTATTTGTTAAAACATACACTGTAAATAAATCGGTCTGAGTGAAAACAAAAAGTACGGAGTGAAATTATTGAGTTCATTTAAGTCAATACATTTTGATAATTTTACACATTTTTGATAATATTTAAACTAAAACTGATAGTTTCAGTCATAAAACATTAGTTGTACTCATATTAATACAAGAAAATTTCACTCAGTCAGAGGTGGACAGAGATTGATATATTATTGAGTGAAATTGAGTAAAAATAAGTACAAATTTTCCTATACATTGTTTAAACTATGATTATTGTGTAATACTTCTAATACAAAACTAATTTTCAAATTATTTGTCAAAAATTGGTAGATCAGTTTCGATAGTTTTAAAAGGTTTTTATTTCCCAAAAACAGAGCTTTATTTAAAGGGATAGACCATACGTAAATTTCACCTCAACTTTTTAATTTTTAAGGTTACGGAGAAATGCAAAATACGAAAGTCAACTGTTTACTGCTTTTTACAACAATAATTAATTTTATACAGGATGTTTTTAAAATGTGTCGTATTTGATAGAAATTCAAGACTACTAAGGTTTTATGAATCTATCTCTAATAATACAGAAGATATGATCATTAGAACATGCTTTAAGGGTTATGTTAAACACATAATTGATAGCGAAATAACCGATCAACCTTATCTAAAATATGTTTTTAACACACAAAATTTATGATATATTCTAATTACCAAATCCTTCTTGTCATTAGAGATACATACACCCATCAAATCCCTTATCATTGCAATCTTGAAAAGCATTTCATTCGAATGTGATATAATGTACAGGATATTCCGCAGAAAAAAATATAAGTTTTGCTTGTCAATCTCTATAAGAGCACACTTCCTCATTTAGCACTTATTCTAAACTTAAAAGTTGAGGTGTAGTAATATTTTAAAAACGTTGAGATATAGTAATATTTTTAATAAATAAAATTTTATTTATGAAAACTTACCTCTTTTCCGCCAGTACTAGAAGGTTCAGTGGAAGACACCACCAAACTGCTTTCACTTGGAGCCGCTAATACTACTCCAAAGAGTAGTAATGGGAAAAGGAATACCAGAAATTTCCTCATTCTTAGTAAAATCTAGGTTGTCTAAAAAATATTAATAGTCTGAATTACTGTGAACAGTGCACAACACAAATGTTCAAATAAGTATGGTAAAACAATATTTTAAGGTAAAACCCCATCCAAGGGAAATTACCAATTGTAACGGTTATAACTTCAATGTTTTTAATAGACTTTCAGCAGAAGTACACTTAAAATCACGCAGCTATAACAATACAATAATAACAAATTTTACTCTAAATAACAGACGTTTTAAGTGGCAGTAATTAAAAAAAAACAAAAGTAACACATTAAGTGTAAATACATGCTTTACTATCAGGTTTTATGTGAAAAAATATTAGATGCCATACATAATATTCAGTAGATATTGTAAATCCATATTTGGAATATTAGAAAAACTATCGATTAGGGTAGCCACTCCTTCGAAAATTGTTATTAAAAAACAGGGGTCAAGTGATGCATCATTTGAAAGCTATTAGTATCTCTTTACAGTCATATGACACTTGCCATGTTTAATTTTAATAATAATTTATGAGTCACCAAAAATTTCAGAATGATTTTTATCAAATGCGTTTACGACGTTTGGGATAGACTTTATACAAGAAGGATGTCCTTTTAAAATCTCTTAAAATCAAAGTTTGCGTTTTTCGGCGTTTTTTTTAAATTAATAGTTTTTTTGATGTCCCCATTAAATTTTTTCGTTGGGGCACTCTTTTTAAAACAATTTTTTAATTTCAAAATATTTTTTATGAGTAAAAAATAAAAAAACTATTTGGTCGTCTACATAGTAAGATATAAATTCTAGTCATTTGACATTTTCTATTTTTTAATATTATAATTTAAAAATTTGTTTATTGGTCATCCTGTATATATAAGAAATTGTTGTGTTAAAGATTTTTTTTTTTGGATTTTTGTGATACCTACTTTACGAACGCAATGTTATTGTAGCATATTTTGTAAACATCGCAATTAATATATTGAGTTCTTAACATAAATAAATGACACTTACCAGTAACTAAAAATATAACAGTAAACACTCACTCGACTGAATATATTTATGTTCTGAGCACATTAACCAAATACATCAATTATATATAATAAACGAACTTTATTTTATTTATCCCCTCCATACATAGCGGCAAGCTGTATTTATCCGTAAGATTTGTTTGGTATATAATAAACAGAATCGGTAATATTTTTAAGAATTACTCAAGGACGTATTCGGTATACATATATTTTATAGTTTGGTGAAGCAGTTACGAGTTTCTTGAAACGTGGATCTAGTAATAGTTTTATTGAACAAAAATTTACCAAAATGAAATGGGGTTAGTTACAATTTTAATTTCTTAAATGTAATATATTATCGGCACATTTTATTAATAATTAATAGTTGTGTAATTCATTCATCAGATTTTTTTACCAGTAAATTAATCTGTGAATGCTTTTGGCAGATAATTAATAATGTTTATCAGGATGAATTAAAAGAAATACTAGAATAGATATTGTAAATGATTTTGTTATTTTGTATAATGTTAATGTAAGAATCGGTACAGGGGGGCATCTAAAGGTTCCACTTTATTAGGGTTATCGATAGATCTCTGCATCTTCAAGTAAGTTAGATAGACGTCGGAATCTGCGAAGATAGAAGGAACGTAATGGTCATTCATTAGGGACTTCGAATCTAATAGACAGAGAGCTGGCTACATAAAAATGATTGTTATAAGGTTACAATATTATTACCTAGATAAGTTACATCAATGCCCGAACACAAAGTCATCAGTCTGCGCGCTCAGAAAGATTAAAGCTGGAGCGGGCTGTCAAAAATGCTAAATTTTACAGAAAAAAAATTATCGGATTCATCGATAAAAATTACGGAAATGTAAAATATTTATTTTTGCAAACCATAGAAAATTATTGCCAGACGGTTTATTGGAAGAGAAAGTACTGCCAAATGGCTACAAAGCCGGATAAAATTTGGTGAAAAAAAAATTATTATTAACAATTACGATAGATTATTTTGTGAATTATATTATGCAGTCTAGCATAAAAATTTCTAAGTGAAACTGAGGTTGTTAGGTCTCTCGAATAGCTTCAAATTGCAGTTAGAATTGTTAGTTCAAATCTTTCTGTATAGATGGCGTGGCGATACTAAAGAATTTTTTGATTCCTGGAACGTGGAATTGTAGTCCATTTGAAAGATCGTCAAATCTTAAGTAATTTCTATAATATAAAGTTTTTCCCAATATTTACTTGTTTTCGAGACATGTCAACTTCAATATGCAATGTATGAAGTAATAGAAAAATCTATTATTTTATTTAAAGTACAGGCTGCTCCATTTGAAAAGACTTATGTTGGAAGAAATTGGAATAAATAGTTATTAATTACGAACAAATTATAACTTGGCAACATGGCATAACAATTATTACAGAAATAGTTGTAAAGTTATATAAAGGACTTTAGACGACTTTAATTGATTTTAAAAAATTAAATCTATTTAGAAAAATACGATTTTGAATAAGATATATAAACTGTCAGATATATTATTTCCTTTACTTCAAACCAAATTTATTTTTAGCAACAGAGATATGAAAAATAGTTTTTTATTGTGTTCGTATCTATAATTATCGTTATTTGTTTGACCACATCATGGTAATTTACAACATTTGTAGTCAATAAATCTAATTTAACTTGAGGTAGCTAAATTACTACTCAGAAATAATTATCTAATATTGATTATTCTTTGTACCAGATTTACGTATGTATATTATTTACTATTGTTTAAAGAATTTCAGATTTTAATTAACGTAGTAAATTATAATACCTGTTTATTTTATAAATTTTCAGCGGAAAATTTACTATACTACATTGCTAGCCTCTGGTTATTATTATTATCTAATGAATATTCAACAAGTACTTTCATTTTTCCTAAAATATATGACTAAATAGTAATATGTTGTGTTGACGATTGAATACGGAAGAAAGAGAAAATGTAATTCTTACATCTACTTAATCTCCAACTCTTAAATGTATTACTGTTGACTTAATTTTATACTTGGTATTCAATTTTTAGAAAAATCGAAGGTAGTGAATAACCAAATAATTTCTTGAAGTATCAAAAAGTGTCACTAGGTAATACTAGAAGTTTTAAATAAGTAGGTAAAGCTAAAACATAGCATCATCTTAGTATTTTTTTTCTTTTTGACAACTGTAATTAGTTAAATTTAAAATATTTCTAAGTTTTACCAATCAGGTTTAGTATAAGGATGTCATAAATATGAAAATTCAATTATGCTGACAAAGAAAAATTACCTAATTTCATTCCAGATGTATCTCATTATTTAATTACAAATTATTGGTTTGGGAATAAGCAAAACATTTTTAAATAAATACATTTTTCTATATAATAAAGAAATTGTTTCATTTTCGACATATACTACATATGTATAAAATCATCGATTATATTAGATTGCTTGATGAAGCCGCTTTTACGATAAGTCTATCAAAAGAGGTCACTTTTTCTTTAAAAATTAAAAAAGAAAAAAGTGGTTTTATATTTTTTTAATAAACTTTTCAACTTTATTAGACTAAAGTTTCAATTTAAATTCACTATTTCAAAACAAAGTTTATTATAGACACATAAATTTAGTTCCTTCTCCATTTGTGAAAAAAAAATGTTTAAATTAATATAACCCACCCTTATGCTAAAAGGATTAGTCAAGGGTTATTCTTATGAAACTATTTCTGGTGAATTAATTTTCTCACATTAAAGTGATGAGATAAATAAAAAAATATACATCACTACATCATTTCACGATAAAATCGTTTATTGTTATTTATATTTTGGGATATTTATTTTATTATTTACGTTTTTCGGTAGTTGCAATCAACAAAAATGTTTATCGATTTAATTTCTAGACTTGAATACTCATTATTTGCAAATATTGAAAGAAGTAAAGACCTATGGAAGCAGGCAAATAAAGTATACCTAAACTGTCACATTGAAATGTCAGTTTTGAGAACTGATTCTCGAAAGGGGAACTATCTTCATGCGAAGTGACTTTTTATTTTTTTATCTGCTTTTCCAGTGTACAGAAAAAAATAACCACTTGGTTCAAGTGTTGTTTCATTATTTTTTAGATTTTGTCTAAAGTGGCAAAAAAACCCAAATAACCAGAAAACAAAACAATCTAGTGTATATAGAAAAAAAATTGAATGTAATATTTTTTAGTTTCATTTTACTGTTAGATTCTAGAAAAAGATTCGTGTTTCCAAATACATTGAAAATGAGCGATAGAAATATAGCTCCAAAAAATCAATAAAATGGTGAAGGCGCCGTGTTATGAAAGGAAGTATTTTGTTACGTACATAATAAACTGTATATATTGGGAACTCGTAGGAAACCGAAACCGAATTGGTAAAATACAAAAAAAAACTATCTAATATACCTGTAATACATATTATTTAATTTAATTTGTTAAATACTAATATAATAATTTAATTTATTCACCTCTCCATTGGAATTAGAACCATAAAAAATACAATAAAACTATTTCATATTTTGAAAGGAATTTATGAAAAAATATAAAAGGGGACTTATTTATAAAACATACAGGATGTCCCTACATTCCTTATGCATGAAATACGAATTATTGGGATCAAAATTCATCAATTTAATTAAATTTATTTCTATTGGAAGTCGCTTCGTTTAATCAATGTAAACATTTACGTATTGAAAATGATCTGTACTCCAAACTGTACAACTTATCTTCTTAGTAGCGATGCATCCGTGTCATCTTGTATTATAATAATACATTACATGGAAACTTGCACTATAACTCTTCCATCCTAAGAAAGAAGCATTCCTGAAAGGTTGACTTTCTTTTCTTTTAATTCTATTTCCTCTGATCGATTGCCTTTATCCGTGCTCTTTTTTGTCACCGTTAGACCATCTTATGTAAAGCTTAACATCAGCAGTTTCTAATAAGGCACACAAGATAATAATTTGTAAGACTTAGACAAGATTTAAATATGAAAATTAAAACTGTTGCAAACTATAAAACAGTTAGATACTTTACACAATGATGATCATGTATCCCACAAAACATGTCCATCCTCATCCAACTAGCAGAAGCGTAATATTCGGAAATTTTACGATTTATAAGACGCGTTTTACTAGTTAAAAACGTTAACACAATCATTATGAAAATGAACAATTTAATACAGCTGTTATGTACAGATTCGAATATTGATCTTTAACTAGGTACACATCTTTCGTACTATACAAATGGAACATAAAGCTTATAACACATCGGTGGGTCATTAATAATGGTACACAGCTTAATGATAGATTGTTTACGTGAAAGGATAGCGATTGAGCCAAACATGCCTTAATCAATTGTTGCTCCCATTCGTTCTACGGGATGTTAAAGTTGAAAAAATATTTTCGAAGATTTTTTTTAAATAAAAGTATAGTTGTTTAATATGCGCTATACACATTATTCTGTAGAGAAATAGTTTAATAAGCCCATTTCTTTCAGAGTAAGAATAAATACGGTTGCAAGACTTCCTGTTAAAAACATATGACCATATCTGTATAGGAGTACAGATATATTTCTCATTTTTGTAAAAGCGACAATTTCGGTTACTATGTCAGAAGTTCATCTATACCAACATGCCGAATTTCATTTAATTTGGACAGTGTTTTAGAGTTATTTGGAAAACATAAATTGTCGCACTGTCTGGCAGGGTCAACCTCGGAAAGAGATAAGTTGCATTAAATTGTTTACTTTGACCTCAAAAATCTATGGTAATTCCGTATTCACAGAATATTGGGACACATTTCGAAATAATATATCTATACCTATGATCATATGTATATACCTACCTAACATCTTTATAAAACAGAATTATAATACATAAAAATTCTCTCATTTTAAAATAATGAACCTATATAAGTTAATACTGCACATTCAATATGACGTGAGTTATAGACGTGTAGGTTTTAAAATACCTAACAGCTAAGTTTCTGGTGGTTTACAATGCCTTTGAAACGGGGAACCCTTATGTACGTGAGTGTTTA